TCTTAAAGCTCATGTACAGTGTCGTTACTATATACTTAAGCGTGCTCGGCTCGGAACCAAGAGATCCCTGATCGAGAGAGGTTCGAACCCAGCCTTGTCACCGATCTTGTGCTCTTGGGAAAGGCAAACTTTCTTCACTTCACTCAGGTGAAAATGAGCATGCCAGAATGAATCGTGGGCATTAAAAAGAAAACCAAACAAAATCAATGAGTTCGTGACTGATGAGTCAACAGAAGTATTAAATGTGACATTGACATCTGTTTTGGGGACACACAGTAAGAGCTTTTGGCACCTGTGTATCTCTGTTGGCACGAGACATACGTAAAGACGCACGGACACGTGGCTGGCAACTCTGCCTAATTTCAAGCACACCGGCAGAGCGTACAGCGAATGCGCTAAACCCGTAAAGTATTGTGCACTTGTGCACATATTATGTATAGGACTTCGGCAGAACGTCGTATCCGCGTATCCAAGGATGATACCCAGTCTGTAGTTTTCAAATGTTTTGTCGGAAAAGATATCGTCTGAAATGGACAAAACTCTAATGCAGCGTTGACCAAACATCCAACGAAAACTGTGGGGAAAAAAGTGTGATGTGCAGTTTGTTTTGCTCAAGTGTCCTATCTGTATCTGTTATAATCTGTATAGCCGGTATAACCGCCCTTCGGCGTAACACACCAGCTTCGCAGGCACGCGGCGCGGTGGCAGCAGGCTACATCACACTGGCGAACGACTTGTTATACCTAACAAGCTAGTATCATAAAAAGCAAGGGGTAGTGGGCGTACGCCAATGGAGAAATTGGCTGGAACATCTCCAATGCCAAATGCCATTTTAGTAAAAAAAACTGTTCCCTGGGTCATTACTAAGGTCGAGAGTACACAGTACAGGGTCAACTACATACTAGTACTGGGGCCTTAATTGTGTGGCACCAAACACACACACGCTTCCAATTATACTATAGTTGGGGTTATTTGGTACAATCTAAATCAACCATTACATAGCCTGGGTGTCAGACCCATAGCACACTAGGCTCAAAGTTATCCAGTGGGCCAGTGTACACACAGGATAACTTGGGCCAAGTGTGCTATGGGTCTGGCATCCAGGCTAAACATTACAAAGCAGAAGATTGTTTCTATCTGCTCACAATCTAAACGTCTTGAAAATAAAATACCCTTTCTGAGCTTGGAGGCGAAAGCTTCTCAACATTACGTCGATGGCCTTATTTCGTAACATCTAAATCCATAGTTACGTAAGCGGAAGACTGGGGAAAATTTAAGTGAAGATCGTTTCTATAGCTGCTCGCAGTCTAGGGTAGACATCTTGAAAAGAAAATGCCCTTTCTGGAGTTGAAATCATCCCCACTTTAGTTCTATTTCCAGAGCCTCTGACCTTATTTCGTAACCTTTAAATCAAGAATCAGTAAAAGCATACTATAGATAGATGGTTAATAGTTGTGAGCAGCCTAAGGTTGGAAAGTGCCCTTTCAGACTTCGAAGGTGACATTTCTCCACTTCTATTTCCAGAACCTCGGACGGGCGTCTTACGTATGTGGCCATTATGTGCTAGCCTATCGTAGCTCAGGGGCATGCTCTCTTCGGAGCTGTAGTAGTTTTCCCCCGGCCAGCTCAACTGGCCGTCCGGTGTAAGTTTTGCGCCTGTAGGAAGTTTGTACTAGCCTGGGTACCATCCTACTTGTATGCCGGGGCTCCCACACTCGCATCCCTAAGAAGTACTTCTTAGGGATGCGAGTGTGGGAGCCCCGGCATACAAGTAGGATGGTACCCAGGCTAAGTTTGTACCGGGCAAAAGTTTGATTGTAGGTGAACTCCCGGCGTGCAAAACCTACCGGGGAGCCTAGCTGAGTCGAGCGGGGAAGAGCACCTGCAGCCCCGAAGCCGCGAAGGAAACATGCCCCAACCACGATAGACCGGATACCAGGCTATAGGCATATACCTGACGGACGCCACAGTAGCCATAGCCTGGTATCCAGTCTATCGCGGTTTGGGGGGATTTCCTTCGGGGCTGCTGAAGCTCTTCCCCGTCCGCTTTAGCTAGGTTCCCTGGTAGGTTTTTCACTTTTCACGATTGGAGATTGTGTTGGAGCTAATCGACTCCCCGGCCTACAGGCGTAACACTCCTGCCGGACGGTCTGTTGAGCTGGGCGGGGAAAAACTATTAGAGCCCCGAAGACAGCATGCCCTAACCACGATAGACCAGGACCAAGAACCAGGTCTCACAGTCACATTATCCGCTGATCGCGTGTAACAGGAACGCAAACCGCCGATAAATCGTCTCCTGTCCCGCAGGTTTTAAAACAGAACCACATTTCCAAAGCACATAGGCGGTAATGCGAACCACATAAACACTATCTGTCAGGGGCAGGTTGTCAGACAGATTGCTGAATCATTTGTCCGGCATGTTTTCATTATTAACTGTTCGTGACTTTAGTATACTGCCCCTTCTACGATCACGAAAGAAAGGACCTGTTTGAAGAGGCCGACAAATTCCATCCTAAGTTCTCCACGTTTAAAGACAATTAAAAGAAAACTACTCTCCTCTTGAAATCACAAAACCCTTACACAGTAGGAAAAGTGGGATCATTTGTCTTCCACTGTCTCGGAAAAAGAAGTCGAACCCAAGTTGGACTTTAGTGTTGAGTAGTTAGAGTAGTCACATACTCTTATTTATAGAATTAGACAGATATCTTTGATTTTCGGTATATGATTAGTTATTAGGGTCAATATGACGAGGTTTGGTCTTTTCTTTGTATATTTATTTTCAGATATTGAAATAAAGTAAATAATAAGACACCCTCGTATTGTATATGGTGTGGCACCGTCTATCAACAGTTGTTAAGCCTTATCGTGTATGATAATTGTCATATCAAACATCTTTTAAGTTATGTAGCGTTACTGGGATGTTTTACTAAGGAATGCCAGTAATTGTTGTGAACACGTGTTGGCATTAAGCTCCCCTGTGATCAGTGTTCAGTAGAGACACTCATTTACTTTACCCTATGTCTTGATAGTTCTTCCCTTTGTTGTAGTGCTACTACACGTTGCATTATATTCTTCTGGAATCTCAGATTTCTTTTCGTTTCTGTTTCTTGTTTAATTTTCCCCCCTTCTGAACCGCGAGTGTAAAGTAACGCCTAGGTCACTGACTGGAACCCCTACCAGGTTTTGTCTCGTTAAATTAAAGGAAACCTTACACTAACGTGCTTTAATTACGTTATGACAGTTTCCCTACTGTTACCATGTATCCAGACAACACTGGCAAGTTCACAGTGAGAACAACGCTGTCTAGACTTGAAATTAACTATTTGGCAACAAGCCTCTTTCTTTCCTCTGTTTGCACTGTGTGTGTGTTTTGATTTAGAGTGACGAGGCTATAAGCCAACAAAAACCGAGTAAATGAAAAGTAGTTGAGGCTAACTTTTGCGATGGAGCTGGTCTTAGAAACATGAAGTTAACTGTTTGGCAACAAGGCTTTTTCTATCATGTGTTTGCACTTTCTTTTGATTTAGAGTGACGAGGCTATAAGCCAACAAAACCGAGCAAATGAAAAGTAGTTGAGGCTAACTTTTGCGATGGAACTGGTCTTAGAATAAGTTTTAAACATTAAGTTAACTGTTTGGCAACAAGGCTTTTTCTTTCCTGTGTTTGCACTGTGTGTGTGTTTTGATTTAGAGTGACGAGGCTATAAGCCAACAAAAACCGAGCAAATGCAAAGTAGTTGAGGCTAACTTTTGCGATGGAACTGGCCTTAGAATAAGTTTTAAACATGAAGTTAACTGTTTGGCAACAAGGCTCTTTCTTTCCTGTGTTTGCACTGTGTGTGTGTTTTGATTTAGAGTGACGAGGCTATAAGCCAACAAAAACCGAGCAAATGCAATGTAGTTGAGGCTAACTTTTGCGATGGAGCTGGTCTTAGAATAAGTTTTAAACATGAAGTTAACTGTTTGGCAACAAGGCTCTTTCTTTCATGTGTTTGCACGTTGTTTTGATTTAGATTGACGAAGTCATAAGCCAACAAAACCGAGGAAATGTAATGTAGTTGAGGCTAACTTTTGCGATGGTGTTGGTGTTAGAATAAGTTTTAAACTTGAGTGTGCCGTCACTATGTGTCTTGTCTTTCAATGTTGCGATAAAGAAATGTGTGTAATGTTTACCATGGGCGGAGCTGTGTGGTTGTATTTACGTAAAAACACGTCCCAGTCACTGTTGGCACCTCTTACACAGAAGAAACGTTCTTTCTGTTTAGGCAGCCCTGAAGGCAAATTTACGGCAATTCATCAGCTTTCAAACTGCGCCATGGACGACGAAAAGTCACGAGGTTACCAGTCAACTATGCAAAAAGGCATATGACTTGATTTATGTCTGTGTCTTTCGACAAAACAGAGGGCAATAAATTATGGAAAGTTACAAGGAATGTGGAAGGTCGGTATGGTACAAGGTTCTATTTGGCCTGGGTACCAGGCTATTTCCAGGGCCTACACTCGCCGCCTTCTCGGCTAAGATAGGCCAGCTTGTCGGCTTCTGGGCCGGCCAGCTCCTAGGCTTCGGATCATACACAAGCCTAGGCTAGCTCCTCGGCTCCAGGGCCTACACAGACCAGCTCCTCGGCTACAGGGCCTACACAGGCCAGCTCCTCGGCTCTAGGGCCAACATGCCCCCGACAAATTTGTACCATAGTCCTCTTGAGCCCCCTGGCTATGGATAAACTCTGGTGAGCCTAGCGTGCTATGGGTCTGGATCAGGCTGGGTTCTACGGTGCCAACCTTGTACGTGTTTGAGATAATTACTTGGACAAGACAAGCAGCGTCTCAACATTCCGCACATACGGTGTCCATCCCTCAATGCCATGCATCAATCCATCCAGACGATCTTAAGTTATGCTAACCACAACCATGTGGAAACACATACAAACAAACATGCACACGCACAGCAATGTCAAAAACAATACCTCCATGTTTTAGGAAGATAAGAAAAACACCTACATTGGGTCGCCGTTCGGCCCGGCGTATTGGCTGAGGTACAGCCCGGCCAGATCGTCCTTCAGAGGTCCGACGAACTCCACGTAGAGTTTGTACATCTGCCCTTCCCTCAGTGCCTTCCCCGTGGGAACCACGAGAAACTGGTTCGGCATGTGGAACCAGAAATCGGTGATATCTCTTGTAGAGCCATCGTCGTCGGTGAAGGTGACTTTACTGATGTTGAGTTTGTTGCTGTGTATGATAACCTCCGTGGCGCTGGAGTTACACAGCATCAGGATCTCCACATGGCCGCTGAAGACGAAATTCTCCAGGTCGATTTTCAGGAGGACGTCGTATGTCTCCGGTTGGAGGGAGAGGGGCAAGCGGACGTTGTCCCACGGACCGGGCGGGTAGGGTGTCGGGGTAGCCGCGCCGTCGGTCGGGACGACACTTACGGCTGCGGATCCACTTTCCTTCTCGACCTCGCACGTCTCCCTCCCGACTAACCCCGCCAGCAGCCCGACAGCCACCACGACGACTACGAAGAACACTCCTAGAAGAACCGCTGCAGATTTACTCAAGACGCACCCCTTCTCCATAATTCACAAATTTCGTCTTACGATGACCACCTGTGAACGCTTTGAACTCCGTAAGCCGGTCTACCGTCTCACACACGTTGCCAACTCTCGTGCGCCAAAGCGTCTGCACCCTCTCTCAGTCACTCCTCCTTCCGTACGTCCAGTGTATGTTGAAGGTTACGCCCCTTTTTGTAGGTACTAGACTTCTGTCAACACTGATGCAAGACTTGTAGACTGACCTACAACTATAGACCACGTGCTGGGCTACAAGTACGGCGAGCAAATACACACAGCCCCAACTCCTGCCGCGTGTACTACTAGCACTGTTCTCTGTATAGCCTGGTACCCAGACCACCGTAGGCTCGCCGGTATCTCTGCGGTGCTGGGAGTACCGCCCGCCCGCCGGCCTGGTCCATTACCACACGCCGGGGAAATTTTACCGGAAAGTATGCGTAAAGGCACATGTAAGAGAAGAAATGGAAACTTAAACGCATATTGCATTTGTTTAAGGTTTGTTTAAAGAATAGATTTTGTGTAGTGTAATTAGACCAGCTAAAAAGGTCAGGCTTATCAGAAGTGGGCTAGCCTCTGCTTAGTAGGACTGGGAACGATAAAACGCCCTTGAGCGGGCCTGTAACCAGGCTATATTCTATAGCGTATGGCTTTCATCAGTTATCCGCCTTTAACCTAGTCATCAGCCTCTCTCCGGGCTGCTGGCTGGATTTCCTCGGCACTGTGAGCTTTCTATCCCCGCACGGCCAGCCTACCCATCCCGGTGATTTTTACCTGCCCGATTTCAAAGAGGGCCTTTCAGGGGGTTATGGCGAAACTTCCTCTTGGGGCATGTTGGCCCTGGTGCCGAAAGGTTGACCTTGGTAGACCCTAACAAAAGCCTGGATTCCAGGCTAACGCTCCTGCGGTGATGCCAAATAAGAACCACTTGTAGACGGTACCACTCTTTTGTCAAACATCGCTCTTGAGTTGATTTTGCTACTGCAAACGTGAATTTTACTAATACAACTTACATGATTGTTGTGTTATCATAACGATTTATCAAGAGGTTTAAAAAGATAACATTATTATACTCCCATGTATGTGAAATGAGAAAAGCGCTTGTAGTTCATGGCGCCACACACTGTCAAACGAGAAAGTCGAGTCATTGTCCAAGTTGACCCGGTGTAATGTATGTTTGACGGAGTGGGAGTGTCCATGTTAGCAGGTTAAACAACTCACAGTATATGTTTGACTTTTCTCACGATTGGAGCGAACCATTTGCAACAGTAGGGGCCATTAAACAGCCTGTAGCTGCATCACTGATAGTAATTATAGTTTCCTCTTCTTCTCTAAACTGTGACCTCTGACCTGGCCAATGACCTAATCTATTAATGTTTGTCACCATGGTAACCGGTGTTGGGTTACATCATGTTGCAATTTTATAGTAGGAGGGATTTAGACTCCTGTCACCATATATACTGAATGTGTTTGAATAAGAATTAACAGACCATATGCGAAGGTAAACATTATGCATTTTCTTTGCTAATGTTACTTTTCTAGTTTCTTATCAAATTTAGAATGCGATATCATACCAATAACTTATAAAAACTAAACTTACCCAAACTGACTTTTAGCACCACCTTGTATATTTTGGTTGCCCTCCTTAAACATTTTACTTCCATATTTGCATATAGCAGTGGTGCCCACCGCTGTTCTAACCCTAGGCTTGTACAATTGACGTTTTCTTCTACAAGTCAATTTCTTATTGACTTTTCTCAAAGAAAATAAGAAGAAGGGCTGAAAAAGCGTGGCCTGGTTTCTAAGAAATCTATCGACCATTCCTTCGACTCTGTTCCAATTAAACGACCAATTACCCCTGATTGCCCCAGACTGAGTAGGCGATGTTTGTGTTAGACCTGTGACCTGTGCCATTAGTGGGTCTGGGCCATAGTGGGTTACTACCTTGGTTCTTGGTTCGACACATAATTACCATGTATAAGGCCATGTTGATTTTATTATATGGATCCTCTGGAACCAAAACTGATGCGAGCGTGCGAATACAAAACGTTTGGCAAAAAAATTGCTTTCATTATGAAATCTACGTGGTTTTGAAGGTTAAACAAATGACACAGAGTATGGTTTGGCGAATAATATAGTCTTCAAATTCATTTCTTTACATTTTCGTCTTTTTCATTTCATTTTGGCATTCTACGACATTGGTATCGTTTTCCAATATATTTTTTTTTGGAAACTTACGGTATATATTTGCTCATTTTGCCATGGCTTAATTTGATATTACAAAACGACACCCCCTTCTTGAAGGTTTGGAATAGTCTTGTATGATAGACAACGTTCCCCAAACAGACGTCGTCCATTTGGCGTGCTTACCTAATCTCCAAGTAGATGTTGATTGGAGAAACATAAGATAGATAAGGGTATCCCCCCGCGCTATGAATCCTATGAATGGGGAATGGTGAGTGGGTCTATCCAAGGGTGCCTGGTTCGTTCTTACTGCCCCCCCCCAAACCAATCAACTACTTTTTTTAATAAAAATCCGAGAACCAAGTAATGAAACTGTTCTGGCCTCCGTATTTCTGACCTTAACCAACTCTAACAAAGCCTCACTAATGGTTCAGTTGGGTCTAATTAGCAGGGCACCACGCATAGATTTTACCTAAGGAGCAGCTTAGAATAGACAACCGCTTTTAGACATTCCTATACAATAGTAACGTCTGTAAAATTGGGGTTATTTTTTGACCGAAGCAATTAGAGCGTATCCCTTTTTTACGGGTCAGACTATCTTTAGAATGTCATTTTCAAAGGTCAAGGTCAAAATGTCGAAGAGCAACTATTTCAACTTATTACCTCTTATGATCACGTTCCGTGCCTCGTGTCTTCTTAAGAATACTTGGCATTCTGCACTAAGCCTATAAACATGCGGCAATTATAATAGGATGTTGACATCTCAATATGCATTAGCCATCTCTCGCCCCCCCCCTCCAGGAAGCAAGAGTGTAGTTTCATTGACATACGCATGGTGTCGTGATAGTAAGGACCTCAAACATATTGGTTGACTGTAAGAAGCTACAACAAAGACACAGTCGGAGGAAACATATTGGTTTTGCTCTGTTTCTTCTTCAAACACATTAGGTCATTGACATGGACTGGTAGTCTGTCACCATGGTAACTGGTGCTGTAGCAGACACTGTGGTGTTGGGTTACATTATGTAGCAAGATAGCTGAAGGGGCTGGTCACCACATACTAGTATATGAATGTGTTTGAGTAAGAACAAGAAGAGCGGTGTTTGTTAAGGTAGACCATGTAAGGGTAAACATTATTTATTTGCATTTGTTTTGCAAATGTTACCTTTTTAGTTCTTATAGTTTTATTAGGGGAAAGCCGTACAGAAGATACAGTCGTTGAGAATCTTGTGTTCCGCACAACAGAGACAGACTTTGGTGAGGAACGGGACGGTGTCGGGGGGAGGGCAGTCGTCGGCTTTTTCCGGACACGACAGGTTGTAGACTAAGTCGGCCGGCTCGTCGTTGACTTCGTACATGAGGCTTATCTGTCCGGGACACACCTCAGTAGCCTTCTGACGGGCCTTTGTGTCTGTAGGGAAGTTCAGCAATAAAGGGTTAATGCCCCACCCTGAGGTGTATATGGTGACATAATCCCTTGTCAGGTGTGATTACCACCGAATGAACCACCAAGTGAGCGAAGCGAACGAGGTGGTTTATGAGGTGGATATCGCACTTCATTCATTCATTATACGAGTGCCTTGACCCTCTTTTCATTTCATCCATATCCATATGCCTTTGCCTCCTTAAAAATTTTATTCAAGTTACTTGACCCCCATAATTTCATCCAAATCCAGGGTTTGCTTCTTGTAAACTTCAAATCCAGAGCAAATCTACAAATTATTTTTTTGAACGGCCCATTGCATGAAAACAATGTATCCAATGATACTTACACGAATCCCGGAATGCTGGCTGCATCTGAACCTGAAGACAACATTTAGAGCTAGTTATAATATCAACTTTCTCATTTGTCGTGGCTACATCATGAGATTGCGACATATCGTGCATGCAAGGCAAGGCAATCTCGCTGGAGGGCACCATTGCATTACAGGTGCACCAAGTTTCAATTCTGGACCAATCGGCGTTTGCTTTCTTACTCGTGCTTTTGTCGATACTTTATATGTCTACCAATGAAGGGTTATTTTCACAGTATATATACTAGAGTTACTGTAGCAGTGATTTAAATTTTCTAGCTTAATTTTCCATTATAAACTGTACAATATTTGGCTAGCTCTTTGTCTTTGTTGGTTAAAAAAACACTGGAAATATATGTGGTTGTTGAACTCACAGCCTCCACCCATAAGACGAGGGAAAGTATGATGAGAGTCTTCAACATCTGTTCGGAAAAAAATTCTACATATCAAATATGGACATATAAATGTTGTTACGCGATGCCTGACTAATGGACTTTGGACTGCACCTATATATTTTGTTTCACATAATAGGCTCTGACTTTACGCCATAGAGAACATTCGTAACCAAAACTTGATCCTTATTTTCGCCTGATTTGAACGAAAAACTATGTGTTAAGTGTTTTTTTACAAAGATATGCAACTCTGAGGCCAATTCAGGATTCAAACCCACAACCCCTAGGTTCTAAGTCAACAACCCTAACCATAGTACTACCTGGCGACTTATTTTAACAACACAACGAAATAGCAATACAAGATCACTTCAAGCAAACCTTATGTAGTTGACTATAGAGCTCGTCTTCACCGAGAAGTCACAACAAGGCCGATTGCAGGAGTCAAATTGTGAAGATCTAGCTATAGGCCGTCACGACTGGCAAAGGTACACTGTACTGATGTCAAATATAAATGTTCCATGGTGTGGGAATACAGACACCTGTGTACAAGCTGTATCGATTAATCCAAGATATAAATTTTAAAGGACCATTATGTAACATCTCTGATATTTATGGTTGGCAATACGAGGGGCACTTATTTTGTGGCACCACCTCAAACTACTGACAGGCTGGGGAAAATTCCCAATTCCAGAATCACTATAATACATTTCCAAATAGACAAACACATGGGCACGGTCGGTACTAATAATTAGGGCTAATGGTTTATTAAACGGCAAGCAAAGGCATTTGCTGGTTTCAAATGCTTATACATAATAAGAAATAAGCAAACAGTCACGCCAAAAATTCAAACGTGTAAGATTGTTACATGCAGTATAAAACAATATAGTATATAGGATACAGGAGTTCTCATTTACACAACCAATAATCTCATCTAGAGTGCCATAGTATATAGTTTATAGTGTTGCCATATTCCATGAAATCTGTCTAAATACTTAGTAGTAGATATATCTTTTTGAAACAGGCATCTAATAGAATGAAAAATCTAAAGTAAGCAAAAACGTCTCTGGACAATTATGACGACTACAACATAGCACCCCACAGCATTCCTGATGACGACATTAAGTTGGTTGCAAACGTAATGAAATTGCTGTACACGTAATGACTTTGGTTGTAAACGTGATCACTTTGGTTGTAAATGTATTGTTGTAGATGTACGACTAGTTGTAAATGTCATGGCATCGGTTGTAAACGTCATCACTTTGGTTGTAAACGTCATCATTTTGATGGCAAACGTCATCACTTTGGTTATAAACGTAATGGATTTTGTTGTAAAATGTAAAGGTCATGGCATTAGTTGTAAACGTCATGACTTTGGTTGTAAACGTCATCACTATGGTAGCAAACGTCATCACTTTGGTAGCAAACTTCATCACTTTGGTAGCAAACGTCATCACTTTGGTTGCACTACTTCCCCTTAGGTTGCATGACGAGGAGAGGTTGCTTGACGTGCATGAGCCTGTAGGTCTGGATGGGCAGACAGTCGTTGGGGGTCCCCTGGGTGGCCGCGCCTGCGAACCCGGGCTGACACATCTCACAGTGCGCGCCCATGGTGTTGTGCTGGCAGTCCTGAATAAAAATGGGAACCACACAAAGTTTTACAATTATAATGACAACTAGAGAGGTAACATTTGCAAAGCAAATGCATAATGCTTACCTTCGCATACATGTATGTTCTACTCTGTTAATTCGTACAAAAAACACGTTCATATATATTATATGGTCAGACAGAAGTCTAAATCCCTCCTGCTATAAAATTGCAACATGATACAACCCAACACCAGGTACCATGGTGATAGATAGTCTTTCCAGGTCATTGACCTTTTTGGTTTAGAGAAGAAGAAGAAGAGGAAACGTAGCAAAAACAATATGTTTTCCTTCGGTAAACTTAATTAATAGTGAAGGGGATATAACGATTTATATGTGGATAGAATCAGGCAAGCAAACAACCACGAGTCGTTCCCAGAACTCACCGCGCAGCCGCCGTCCATGGTGCACTGGTTGGAGTGGTTGTGGCAGAAGCACGTGATCTGTTGGGCTGAGGGAAGAAATATCAAACAAATTGATACTTCTGTATAAGGCTAAGTCACAACTAAGTCCAACACAGATAGCTGTCCCTATACCTGAGCTATCCCATCACACGTACAGTTAGTTAGCTGACCCCAACACCTGTACGGTTAGTTAGCTGTCCCCAGCACACATACAGTTAGCTGTCCCTGTCCCAACACCTGTACGGTTAGTTAGCTGTCCCAACACACGTACAGTTAGTTAGCTGTCCCAACACACGTACAGTTAGTTAGCTGTCCCAACACACGTATAGCTAGTTAACTGTCCCAACACACGTACAGTTAGTTAGCTGTCCCTACGCATGCAGCGTTCGTTAGCTGCCTTTACTCCTAAGTTAGCTATCCCAACTTACGTACAGTTAGTCCCTACAGCTCTCTAGATGACTTACCAGGAGGTGCCTGGCAGATGTAGTGCTTCTCCTCGCAGCAGGCCCTGTCGTCCCAGTAGTACCCCTGCATCTGCACACAGTCTTGGTCCCTGTCGGCGTCGTCAGGCTGGGCGGTGTCCCAGTGGTTAAACTTCCCCAGGGCCGAGCCGTCAGCGTACACGTACTGGCCTGGGGAGAGCCAGGGAGTTCATTTTTTTAATAAGAGTAGCAAACCCCTTTTAAAGTTATCAAATGCAATTTCACGGGCATTTAAACTTTTTGTCAATTTTCTGGTCACTTTTTTAAGTATAGAAAATTGATTTAACCCTATACCATAGTATACTGTTGTCTGTGAGGCAAAAATGTGATGTCACCGACTTTTCCACAAAAGTGTACATGTACTACTACTATTCCAGTAATCTAGAATTTCGACTTTACCTGTTATTTATTAAAACAACCTCGCAGGTTGATTGGCGTTAGCATTTACTAGGATGGAATTTGGTGACTTCTTTAAAGAACTCTCTTCTCTCGTGATCTTAGATCGAATGGGACAGTTTGATATGAAATGCATGTCATCCTTCAGCATATTTACAAGTCCTGGTAGCACTCCTACACTGAATAATTGGGAACACATATCACCTTCGATGGCCCTGTCGTCCAGGCCTATCCAGTGGGGGTTGTGAGGGTTGAACGCCTGGAGAAACCCGTACACGAACCCGTGAGAAACCTCGTCTGCAGAGACATGGGAACATAAACATCGTCACACACGGAGGAACGCTGCCCCGCGTGGGGACAACAGTCGGGAACTGGGCGATGAAAAATTAGCTGAAAAGCGTAAATATAACGCATTCTTCTGTTGTCACGTGTTCAGCATTCACCATTTTCCCATTCCCAGGATGCATAGCGCCAGGGGGAACTGTCAATGTACGGTAATTGTTAACATTATACAGCTTGCTTTTATGCATTTTTGGTGGTGTTGGAGCATTTTGTGTTTCAACCTCGGTGACTTATTACAGATCGAATCTGACAACAAATAGAGTTTGAAATTCTTCTGTATTTTCTAGTATACCGTCTAAAGAAAAGGATTAACAATTATTTCTTGAAACACATGTTAAGGAGGCAGCCTTAAGTACTTCAGATCCTATCATCAAGGCATGTAAAACACCAATATAAATTGATGAAACGACATCATAAGGAGTGACCACCTGGCGCTATGCATCATGGGAATTGAAAATGGTGGATACTTCAGAATATGTTGTCACGTGATCGAAATAGAACAGAGAACATCAGATAATGATGACATTAAACCTTCGTGAGCAAAAGCATTATTTTGAATTAAAAAAAACAACAACTCTACTCTGATTGGTTGATTACCTTTGAGGACAGCCAATCCGGCGCCGTCCTGCGCGCATGCCCTCTCGGCGTCGGCGTACTTGACCACGTCGGTGGAGAAGCGGTAGCAGAGGTGGTCCTCGCCCATGACGTAGCCGGTCTGGCAGGCCAGGTTGACCACCTGCTGCAGCATGACCACCTGTTTGGGCGCCTGGACCACCACGGGCTGACCTTTGACCGGTTGGACCATCACGGGTTGACCTTTGACCGGCTGGACCATCACGGGTTGACCTTTGACCGGGGCAGGGGGTGGGTGGGACTTCATCACGACAGGAGCTGAATTTGAGCAAAAAAAATTGTTTTCATTTTTAATTCTTAGATTAACCATCTTTGAAGATGAGAAGAAGACAAAAACGATGAAGACTAACGGTATTCCCTTTCTCTAAAGGTGAAGTGACCATATTAACGTAGATGGAAAATTTCATTTAGGCAATAAACGCAGTGAATTGACAAGAGAAAATCTCATATCCCCATTAAACATTCAAAGTTTTTGTGACTTTCTCGTTTTATTCATTTTTGTGAATTTCTCGTTGATTTTGTCTACATTCACCAACAGGCTCACATGAGACACAGTAAAAACAATAAAAACTGACCCTTCCCTCCCCATCTACCTACACGAGGCGACTGTTTGTAGCTCTATATTATAGAGTAATTACCCGGGTGATGTTTCTGTACTGTAGTGACGACTGCTTGAGGCTTTACCACGGGCTGGGCCAAACCAAGGCCGTGCTTGGCGTAGTCTGGGGAAAACAAAGAATGATTACCATGAGTGATATTTAGTTATAGGCCCAACACACCAGCTTGTTTCTCCATTTGTGGCTGCACACCCCAAGTATGTATATAGTGAACGTCTCTGCAATCTATTTATCTATCAGTGGAGTTGTTCCTAAGGCAAAAAATTAGAATGCGAAATTGATGATAAAGAAAGGTGCTCATTATTTTATAGGCAAAAAAGTAACCTTGGAATGCTCTACATTTAATCTCTGATGGCCGTAGTTTCTTGGGTCGTGGGAGGGGAGCATTGGACATCAAGATATATTGGTGAGTCTGTATCTGTATGTGTATCTATATAGCCGGTATAACCGCCGTTCGGCGTAACACACCAGCTTCGCAGACACTCGGCGCGGCGGCAGCTAACTATATCACACCAAAGGACTTGTTACACTCAATCTTCGCACATTTAATTGCAGGAGTTGTTTAAAGCTTTCTAGTGATGATGCCCCAACTGTGCTTGGTGGCAACGAGTTCCAGTCTACGATAGTTCTTGGGAAATACGAGTTTTTAAACACCTCAATTCTTGGTTGATAACTCTGATATTTGAAGGCATGACAGTCACTGTTTCTTGCTCTTTTCTGGGCTGGAAGTCTGTAGTGCTGGAAACCAATGCCATCGTTTTCAAGGCCTTATTCACTGAACTGCACCCACCCAGAGTTTTCATTCAACGCCAACAGGCACATACAAGCACCCCTGCACCTGAGCGGTTTGGAGGTCAAAGGTCGCGTAAACACAGACTGCTGAGTACGTCACAACTGACTGCCACCTCAAGTGGTCTCTACTCGCAGGATGACAGGTATGGCACAATCTGAAACCTAGTCGAGTATAAAGACCGTTGTCCGGGCCTACACATCTGTATCTGTATCTGTACAGCCGGTATAACCACCCTTTGGCGTAACACACCAGCTTCGCAGGCACGCGGCGCGGCGGCAACTGACTACATTACACCGATCAACTTGTTACACCTAACCCTTGAACATCTAACTCTAGACATTGTTTAAAGCTATTTAATGAAAGTGCCCCTACTGTACTTGGTGACAGCGAGTTCCACTCTGCGATAGTTCTAGGAAAGAATGAATTCTTGAACACCTCAATCCTTGGTTGATAATTCTGGTACTTGAAGGCATGGCTATTTCTTGTTCTCTTCTGGGCTGGTATCAGGTACATTTTTATCTGTCTATTTGGCTAATTTCTTAACTCTTTTGAGCCTATTCTGAAGCCTAGCTACATACAAATGCCAGTTCCTCGCTAAATGTAATGCCTCGTATTGTCCCAGTGATAGTTTGGGCGATATATAGTATCGTTGAGCAGCATAATGCAAAAATAATATGCCTGGATTTTTATGACCGTTTAGTATTTATCATTGTTGAAAGTCCTTCTGACTAATTCAGAAGTGAAGATAGTGTCTACCCTTAGTAGCCAGACCACGTGTTGAGGCTGTTAACAGAAACTCTGCACCTGCCGAAAAAGAAAAGGGTAAAGTACGTAGTGGGAGGGGGGCAAACTGTCAGCTGTGGCGCCACATTGCTAGGAAACACATTGCTGATGACAGGTGCATCCAATGCAATTTCAGAACAGGAAAACTGGAAATATTCTGAATAAGGCAACATTTGTGATAGTGACACATACTGCTTCACATGCTGGCACATACTGCTTGGCACATTTGAGTCAGCATTTCATACTTTCGGCTTTTAGAACTGCAGAAACAAGCCCCAAGATGAGTCCTTTATTTTCTGGTTGGTACCCTAAAAATCAGCCAAGGTCCCTTCCAGTTACTACTTTCCGTCATAATTTTGGGAAGTATTGCTCCATTAGGGTCAATATACATTGGGATGGTGTGGTTTCAACTTAGTATGTAGATTAATGACTAGAATATTGACTTTGAAAATCTGGTTTTCAAGCCCTAAAAACTGCACTAGATGCCTTTAAGAAAATCTAACTCAAGATCATTATATTGCATCTATACTCCATCTATTCACAATGACGTCCTTTCTGTCGGAAGTCATTTTTCATGTTCTTTGATGTTTCTGTTGTAAACATGTTTACATGTAAACAAACATTGTGAAGTAATGTTGACACCATGCGACAGGTGGTGAGGTTGAACAGACGAAATCTATGGTAGGGAAAGTCCCTCATTAACGATGTTTTCTGTAGATGATATCTATTCGATACATACGATAAGGGAGAGTATCAACTATTCATTATCAATTAGTAAGCAGATTAAACAATCAATAGCTCATCAACCAACATACCCTGGTGACAAGTCAACAATGTCAACTATTTAACAAATTGATAACTTGATTTAGAGTTTAATAACTTGTTGCTAATCGGTTAAGAACTCAATAGCCAATTACGGTTTAACTACTAATAATTATTAACTCATTAACGAGTCCTCATCTGACCTTCCTGTGTATTCACCGTGCTATTCCGTAACCCAGTTAACCCAATAACTATTTCAACCAATTGACTCGATTTTAACTAATGATTAACTTATTAACCAGTCGATAACTTACGTGCCAGACAGTTGTCTTCGTCCGACCCGTCGCTACACTGCACGATTCCGTCGCAGCGTTCCGCCTCCTGTATACACCCCCTGCCGTTGGTACATGGGAGGGACCCCGGGTACAAACACTGGATAATCCGGTGGGCAGACCTCTTTCCTGTTGTTGGGTAGGGAATGGTAATTTTTTATTCCAACATTTATATCACAAGACATATGGCGTCGGCACACTCAAGTTTTTTCAACATATTTTTTGCCGCCACCAAAGCAGAGGACAAACGCATGAACGGACAACAGACATACTCATGTTCACCCGAGTTAAGTGAGTAAAGTCGTGTCAAGTGCCTTCCCCAAGGGCACAAGGTCGGTGGCATGGCAGGATTCGAACTCGGGACCTCTTGGTTCTGAACCGAACACTCTGTCTTTACGCCAAACGACCCCACCCAATTTTTGGTTATTGGATTAATTGTATCCAGATTCGTGCCTATCTAGTTCTATGCCTGAATGGGTTACGGTTAGGGTTAGGGTTAGGGTCAGGTATGGTTCAGGATAGTCTCTGTGTATCCTAGAACGTAGATTTGCCCCAGGCACGATTTTGGATACGCGTGGACTATCGTACATGAGTATGGGTTTGAACTACTCTCTACAGTTTTGAAAAGTGTGGTGGGTTCTTTAACGTGCTCGAGGTGTGTCTCTCTTCAAACATGGGGCCTCCATTTAACGTCCTGTCCTAGGGACGTCCCTAACCGAAGCTAGGTTCTTATTTCCACTTGAGTACACTGAGGAGATTCATGTCAAGTGTTTTTGTAAAGGGTACAACAGTGGGGTGATAAACAGATGGATTCGAACCCCAAACCTCTCGATCCTAGTGCTGCCAGCCTAACCTCAAGGCCACAGAACACACGGAGCTGTGTTTATTTGCGTTGTGGTTTGGACACCCACCATTACCATTGTTCGGTGCCGATACCTTCGTTTACGTTTATGTTTGCAAAGCGACCGCAAAGCAAACCACATACCAGATACCGTGGGAGAGTCGGGTAACAGCTACAAAGAGGCAGGACGAAGTGAAGAACATTTTGCGTCTGTCCCTATATCATGAACCCTTCATGCAGCGTAACACGCCAGCATCGTAGGGACGGGGCGGAGCTAGAATGTTACATTACTTCGAATGAACTGTTATACATGCACCTAACATTTGCACTTCAAACTTTGCGTTAACTTCAAACTTTGCTATCTACTGAGGATACCTAAGTTGTCTTTGGTGACAATGAGTGCGGCTCTACGATAATCTTAGAAAAAAGGAAACCCTACACTTCTAAGATATCTAAATCTAAAATATCTAACACTTCAATGAATAAAACTTGACTTACACCGTTTTGGGTAGGAATGATAAATTAGCCTACAGTGATAATACTGATTATCTAGACAAAATGTTTTCCTATAAAGCATCAAAGTAAAGTTGTTCAACCCTTTTTCTTGATTTCTCTGCTTTTTTGAGACGTTTTGATATCCTGTTTACCATCATAAATGATTTATTTTAGTACTGAGGTATAAAATCCAAGACACACCAACTTGAACAGGTTGTGATAAGTATATGGTTTAAGTACATCTATACCATACATAATGCTATAATTACGATGAGATTTGACAAGCATATTTTACTACAAGCAGATTCTTCATTCAAAATTTTAGACTAGAAATCATCAGTATATTTTTGGCCAAGAAATCACAAATTTCATCAAATTTGAAGAAACCTTACCTTCACATGACAGAAAAGTAGCCACCACCAGAAGAAGTAAGAAAGACGTCTTCATAATTAAGTTTTCTTGTTCACTTCTTAAGAAGAACGTACGCTCTGCAGAGGCGAACTGCTTGGAAGGCTTCCAAAATCTTCTTTAGCGTCCCGGGCTAGCTTGGTAAGCCTAAAAATAACTTGTTGCCTACTACGCATGCGCTGGCATGAATATCTGACGGCCGCCATTGTACTAGGGCTCAATGGCGGGATTTTTTGAAGAATGACTTGAGAAAACACGCAAATGTTAAGGTGAGTCTTGTATGACATAGGTGGCCAAGGGTCAGGACAGGAATGCCTTAAAGAAAATAGAGCTGTCTTTGTGTCTGAGACTGGTAAAATAAACAGTCTGGGACCTACTCACAACATATCTAAGACATCCAATCTGTGTACCTTCTGAAAAGTTTTCTTTTCTTACGAAATCGTATTGCCATAACGGTAAAATTCCCACAACGAAATCTTTGCACCCTGTACATGTATTAAGAACCAAAAGTGTGTTAAACTTTTCAGTAGAGAGTTATGTGTACATGAATGGCACGTTGTCTCTGCCTTGTATGCATTGTAGGCTGGTAGGTATGTCTAAACGAAAATTTTAGAACCAGAATAACTAATGGTATTAAGTTTTTATGTTGAAAATTCGTGCTGTCTCAGAAATATTAGTCAAATGGAATGTAAAACATGATAGAATCGTATATGAAAAAGTAAAAAAAAAAAATCAAATTTAGTGACACTGTCATTATGGTAGTTCATACATTTATCATTAATTTCTTTGTATCAGAAGTTCAATCACCGTATCCGAATTTAGCTACTGATTATTGATATGTAAGAAATACAAAGGAAATATATAGTTACTCATGATTTTATTCAAAACCCCAAACATAACAGTGAACATTCTAATAATTGACTTACAATACAATGGCGTAGTTTGACTCATGCCAAAAGGTACACAACAACTTTGGAACCATTCTATAACTCGATGTAACACCGGTTCTGTGAGAAATACACATCGCTATTTAAAACATAAACAGAATTCTTCAGAATTTGAATAATTCCTAAATCTACAAGAAAAGAGGATATATAAGTGATAAGAACACAAGCAAACCGTAAGATTTTCCACCATTAGGAAAACTGATCATGAAGCACCGTTGAAATCAGCACCAATTTTTTTACTGCTACTTAACATTCTCATTAAACGTTAAAGTTTATCATAGTAGGATATATAGAAGATACATTGTAATAAGCACAACGTTAAATGCTCCATCATTCAAAACTTTACTCCAGAACGTACTGTGCCTGCGCAAAACCCTGATTTTTCACGATTTTTGATGGATGTTTGGTCACCGTTGCATTAGGATTTTGTCTGTTACAGACGATATCTTTTCCAACATAACATTTGGAGACTACAGACGGGATGTCAACCTTAAGCTTATATACGCGAATACGACCTTATATGAGACGTTCTGCCGAAGTGCTATGCACAATACATTACGGGTTTCGCGCAGGTGCAGTACGTTGAGCTCTGCCTGAGCCGATGACATCACGGTTGAGTTATCCCTTCTTGCCGTGATGACGCATCACGACTTGCTGCACCCTCATTGGTTGCTTGACGTGCATGGCGACTGGCTGCAGCCTCATGGCAACTGGTTGCTTGACCTGTGCAACCAAATAAAATCCAACCGTAAATCAGTAAATATCAACATCTTTAACTACAAATTGATACTGCCAAACTACAAAATTAATGCATAATGTTTACTAAAAACACATTCATATGTATGGTGAGTCTAAATCCCTCCTGCTATGAAATTGAAACCTAACACTAGTTACCATGGTAGCAGCCGGCTGGTTCAGGTCATTGACCTTTTGTGTTTGGAGAAGAAACTGAGCAAAAACAATATGTTTTCTTTCGGTAAGCATTAAAAAAACTATGGCTCACCTGCACTCGTTGCATGACCACCTGCTGCACCGGTTTCTGCACCACCTGCATCACCTGCCTCACAGGTTGTTTCTGCATCACTTGCATCACCTGCTGCACAGGTTGTTTCTGCACCACCTGCATCACCTGCACGTAGCGGATGGGCTGACAGTCGAACGGGGTGCCCCGGGTGGCCATGCCGGTGTAGCCGGGCTTGCACTGCTCGCAGTTTGTGCCGGCCGTGTTGTGCTGGCAGTTCTAGGAAAAACAGAAAGCAACACGCAAAATATTTCATTTCACGTGAAAGCACGTTTGTCAGTAAGCGCTAACGAAGTAGATCAGTTCCTAAAGAACCCATTATAACTGTTTTGAAAGACACGGAGTCACAGTAGATTGCTTAGGCTCAGAAGAGGGTCAATTTTCAATTTGAAAGTAAAGGAGCATACTTACAGCACAAACGCCTTGGGCAGCGCAGTTGTTGGAGTGGCCATGGCAGAAGCAGGTTATCACAACTGGAAAAGAGAACTTGTATTTAAATCAGATCCGATGAAACATATAATCCAGAATAGATAACCTATTACAGCAGAAGTTACGCCATGACTTATGTACTGTAGACAGTCCTTAGGAAAGACAAAATGGACAAGAATTGAATGGCACTGCATGCATATGGCGTATAGCTACTGATCCTATAGCCAAAGACCACACATTGCATAAGCTTCAGATGGTTTTGAGCTGTCGAACATAATACTAACTGTGCACCAAAAACAAGCTCCAGAGCTCCGAGTGTCTGTATCGATATAGCTGGTATAACCGCCCTTTGGCGTAACACACCAGCTTCGCAGGCACGCGGCGCGGCGGCAGCTGGCTACATTACACCGAACGACGTGTTACACCTAACCCTTGAACGTTAGGCTTAGAACGTTAGTATCTTACTTTGTTGAGGCTTCTGCACGACGGCGTAACCCTTGGGCTGCTGCACCACCATCACGGGCTGCTTGGGGGCTTCCTCAAACGGGGCGGGCTCCACCTCTTGCTTGGGAGCTTCTTGAACCGTGACGTACTGCTGGGCAACCTTGACCGGCTGGACAACCACCGGTGCCGGTGCCGGCCTGCCCTTCGAACGTTGCGCTGCCCAGACTGTAATTACAAAAGTACATCTCTATGTCTTTTATCATGATCATATCCATTATCATACCAGGCTCCTCATACAGGCTAAGCCAACACTGCTTCTCCAAGAATAGTAGTTAGTAGTAGTAGTAGTAGTAGTAGCAGTAGTAGTAGGCTACTCATACAGGCTAAGCCAACACTGCTTCTCCAAGAATAGTAGTTAGTAGTAGTAGTAGTAGTAGCAGTAGTAGTAGGCTACTCATACAGGCTAAGTCAACCCTGCTTCTCCAAGAATAGTAGTTAGTAGTAGTAATAGTAGTAGTAGTAGTAGTAGTAGTAGTAGTAGTAGTAGCAGTAGTAGTAGGCTACTCATACAGGCTAAGCCAACACTGCTTCTCCAAGAATAGTAGTTAGTAGTAGTAGTAGTAGTAGCAGTAGTAGTAGGCTACTCATACAGGCTAAGCCAACACTGCTTCTCCAAGAATAGTAGTTAGTAGTAGTAGTAGTAGTAGCAGTAGTAGTAGGCTACTCATACAGGCTAAGTCAACCCTGCTTCTCTAAGAATAGTGGTAGTAGTAGTAGGAGGAGGAGGAGGAGGAGGAGTACTTATTAGTAGTAATAGCAGCAGTAGTAGTAATAGTAGTAGTAGAAGCAGCAGTAGTAGTAGTAGTGGTACCAGTATTAGTAGTAGGGGTGGTACTTAATAGTAGTAGTAGTAGTAGTAGTAGTAGTAGTAGTAGTAGTAGCTCATTACTACGCACTCTACTACCACGAATAACTCAAGAAAACTCAAATAGAATGTCTCTACCTTTAGTGTGTGGGTAGGCCTTGATCAGAACTCAAAGTGAGTAGATATTGGTTTTTCATACTTACATGTTTCGCAGTTCTGTTCGTCCGATAAGTCAGGACAGTCGAAGACTCCGTTACAGCGGTCCTCGTTCTTGATACAGCCGAAGCCATTGCTGCAGGCCAGGTTTGACGGGTAGTGGCACATCTCAACATACGGCAGCACCTGTTGGCTTTTCTTGCCTTGAGGTAACAGATACAGTACAGCACTGTTTATCAAACAGTGGCACCTTCTTTGCCATGCATTCACAGCGTTAAGAGGCTTTGTGGTAAGGATTACAGAACAGCTACAGTTTTCAGACAAGGTGCTTGGAAAAGCAGACAGTACCTGTGATATTATGTTCACTTGGAGCACTAGCTCACAAGTTGGTATGGGCGCGGCATAGATTTTCATATTGAAGCATGCCTTAAAGCATACGTAAAGATATCGTTTTTATTACTCAAAAGGCGTGCCCTAATGTATGCTTAAATGTTGAATTTCATGTAGTGATTATAATGATTTGATAGTTGAACGTTTATACAGTGCTTCTAAGCGTTGATTTTGATAAATGATGAGCCAAATGGCGTTTGTAGATAGATATATAGATAGGCTCAGCTTAGAAAAAGTCGCAAATCATTGTATTTCAATTGCTATTTCTAAATTTTCCCATACCTTTACCTGTGCCTTGGAGCATGAACCACATTTTACATACTAAAAAAATTACCAGCCGGACTATGAAAATTTCCACTAAAAATGCAACTTACCTGCGCATCCATGAAAGCTGACTGTCACAGCCAACACAACGAGGAGGACAAAAACTTTGCCGTCCATGTCGAAAAAGCTCAAAGTCTTTCCTGTGCCAAAATAGAGTAGACCAGCCCGGCGACTTGAAGCTCACTGTATGCACTGCAACGGCTAATGACGGTTCTGTCTTCTGATAGGCTTTATCTGTGTGTGGCATCTGTGCACATGCGTACATTTCAAGGAGTCTGTGGATGCCTTTGTTGCCATACAAAGACGTCTTGGCTAGGAAAGAACAAACGAAGCGCGTAAAAGAAAATGTGAGGCGAGTCTGACCTGCACAGGTCAGTGGGGTCATCCTGGCAAGCTACAAACCAAAACAGATCAGGTTGCCTGCCCAGACATGTAAACTTTACCGTCTAAAGCCCCTCTCACACTTAGCCGAATATGGCAGTGAAAAATAACAGGCGAAGCACGTTAACAATAGGAAAAGTATCGAGGCATTAGTAGATATAAAGGTAACTAACCCGAAGACAAAAATTGTGTAGTTTAAAAACAAACGTGCACAGAGCAAGAGCAAAATTTGTGGCTGCATTTGATGTAAATGATTAGATTTTCATGATGTCACAGGAGCAATATAGGTTACGAGTAGCTAGCCCCAAGACAAGACGTATGTAGTTCAGAACCTATATTTGAACACACAACATTCTGAAACGTTAGAAGCTCTTGCTGCTTCGCCCTGATAGTCCTGTATTTCGTGAGTTAACTACGTCTATACGTATACACTGTCTCCCAAAATGTTAAAACTATGAAAACAGTGCAAAGCCACAAGTTTTGATTTCCAAATGTTTATTACATCATGTCACACGATTTAATCATGTAAATCGATATGTTAAAAAAATTAAGGATGAAATAACACTTCCTGGCAATAGATTTAAGCTTCACAACCGTAGCTCACTTCCAAATGTACGTGTCGTCATAATACATTGTCAGGTAAGAACAAAATGACCAAAATGCTTCTATATATCACAAATAGCGCAGAGTAAGGATTGTGAATCTGTATTGTATTGTAAGCACACCTGTATTGTATTTCACTTTTTTACTGCAAATGTTAATATGCTTTTAATCTATCTGTAAATTTTCAAAAAAAAGTTCAGTTGTGTCAACACGTTTGCAAAGTTGAGTATATACATAAAGATTTGAGATTCGAAAGTTCAGAGAGTTCGTCACAACATATCAAACGTACAAGAAGGATAATCTGGAACACACTCAAGTCCTGACTTAAATCACGATTCACTCGTTTGATAATGTGACATCGCGGGGTGGCAAACAAACAAACAAACAAACAAACAAACAAATGACGTCACGTCATCAGACGGCTATTAGCCCTTCTTGCCGTGACGCCTCATGGCTGGCAGGGCGACTTGCTGCACCCGTACTGGCTGCAGTCGGAAAGCCACAGGCTGCATGACCTGTGCAACCAAATCACATCCAAATCATTCATAAAGATACCAATATCAAAACTAATTGCAACATCTGAATAGCAAAGTTCCTTTTATCACAACCATTTATTTTTCACTAGCCGACGTTTCGATGACCGTCTGTCATCTTCATCAGGACAATTCTGACTTGCCAGAATTGCCAAGATTTGTCAGAATTGCCCTAATGAAGATGAAAGACGGTCATCGAAACGTCGGCTAGTGAAAAATAAATGGTTGTGATAAAAAGAACTTTGCTATTCAGTCGTTTACCAACCTGATGAAATTATTTACGGATAATTGCAACATCGTTTTGCAAAATACGACAAAAAAGTCTTCCAGAAAAAAAAACAGAACTCTGTGGAGAAAAGGTTTATTTTGCCTCACCTGGACCGGTTGCATTAACACCTGTTGCATTGGCCTTCGGGCCACCTGCATCACCTGCTGCACCTGTTCCTGGACCACCTGCACGTAGCGGATGGGCTGACAGTCGAACGGGGTGCCCCGGGTGGCCATGCCGGTGTAGCCGGGCTTGCACTGCTCGCAGCGTGCGCCGGCCGTGTTGTGCTGGCAGTCCTGGGAAACAGTCACAGAAAATGTGTTAGATTTGTAGGGCACTGAAAAGAGAACAAATGTAGATAGCAATTAGGTTCGTCCTAATCTTTAATCTTTTACAAATTCCATATTGAACTTTTCAAAAATCCTCTGATGCTAGTGTGTATACTTACAGCACAAACGCCTTGGGCAGCGCACTTGTTGGAGTGGCCATAGCAGAAGCAGGCTTTTATAGGGTAGAGAGATAAATCATAAATAGATACTTGTCATCTAACATATTCAACTTCTGTTCTTAATGTACTTTAATTGTTTACTTTTATACGTATTTAACTACTCTTAAGAAGGTTAGACCTCTGGCCAGTCTCAGACTTACCCACGTTAGCTGGTTCTCCGTACTTTATAGCTCATGGTCAAAAAGTTTCATCTCCTAGCTCATTATAGCATCATTTCAAAATTTTCTAAATTTTCTAAAGTGCATCAATATGGAGACCTAGCTAGCATATGCATTACACTGTGAATAGCGATGTGTGTCCTTACTTACACGGCCTACAGTTTTCTTCGTCCGAGCGGTCCCAACAGTCGATGACTCCGTTACAGCGGTCCGTGGCTTTGACACAGCCGATCATGTCAGTGCAGTTCAGTTTGGTTGGACCGTGGCAAAGACTCCCAGCTTGAAGTTTAAACAGAGGCAAATCTTTAAATTTCTTTGAACAGTAGCTTAGCTTTGGTGACAAAGATTTCAAGTTTCTTATCAGCTGTAGCCTGAAACTTTCTTAGCGTGTAGACGTCAAGGATCATGATTCGCTCTTAGTTATTCCCTTGAATTTCTTAAGACAGAATTAAGACTGCTGTTAATGTACAAACCAAAAAGGAGACTTACCTTCGCATCCATCAAAGCTTGTCGCTGCAACTAACGCAACGAGGAGGGCGAAGAATTTGCCATCCATTTTGGAGCCTTTAGTCTTTCCGATACTCAGAGACTTGTTAAATTAGACCAATTAACTTATCAGCTTTATGTATATATGTGTGTGTGTTGGGTGTGTTGTCCGTTACTCATGCACAAATGTAGTGGAACCGGACGAAGCCTTTATTTCCCTTACAAAGAAGTGCTTGACAGTGACGTAATCGATAGGAAAGGTATCGGGGCATTAGAGCAAAGGTAGCTAACCCGAAGACAAAAGTTGTATAGTTCAAAACTTAAACATATGTACACAAAGCTTTTCTGGCTGCGTTTGACGTGGCTGATCATAGAGTTTCATGAAATAGTCACCTTGTCAGTGAAAAATAATAGACGAAGCATGTAAACAAATAGGAAAGGTACCGGGTCATTAGAGTAAAGGTAGCTAACCCGAAGACAAAGCTGTGTAGTTAAAAACACGAGCATGTACACAAAACAGAATTGACGTGGCTGATTATAGAGTTTCATGACAGATGTCTTATTGTAATCGAGGAATAAGCAAATAAGTCTTTATCTAACCTTGTCAATGAAAAGTAACAGGCAAAACATGTAAACAAATAGGAAGGTATCGGGTCGGTAAAGGTAGCTAACCCGAAGACAAAGCTGTGTAGTTAAAAACACAAACATGTACACAAAGCAGAATTGACGTGGCTGATTATAAAGTTTCATGAAAGGTACCGTAATCGAGGAATAAGCAAATAACAGAAAAACAGTGCGGGCGAAGTATGTAAACAAATAGGAAAGGTACCGGGGCATTACAGCATAGGTAGCGAAAAGTTGCGTAGTTCAAAACACAAAGAGATCTTTCTCTAACAGAAAACAGGCAGTCTGTAAACCTAGAGGAACATTATACAGGGGCAGTAAGGTTAGGGGCAATGAGCACAATATAGAGCAGGTTTACTTGCTAAAGTATAAACTGTGATAACTTAAGTTCTTGGTCTGTGCTCAAACAAAACATTATAACAGTTGCTGATAGATATAAGAGTGGCTGGAAAGGAGTAATCTAGACAGAACGCCTACCATTAGAATGTTACAACAAAATGCGGTTCAAGCCACAAGTTTCCATCTGAAAACGTTTATTACTTCAATGTCACACGACTAAATCTTGGTGGGTGTACATCTTCTAGAGAAAACACATTCATAGCACCATGGACCAGAACTTAACAATTGATGAACTTCACACACTTAAAGGTGTTCTAAAGACTGTGTCATAAGAAAGTAAAATGTATGAAAACGCTAAAGCTACAATTCATCGCCCCATGTATACATCTTCTAGAGAAAACACAGTTAATAGCACCATGGACCAGAACTTAACAATTGATTAACACACTTAAAGGTGTTCTAAAGACTGTGTCATAAGAGACTAAAATGTCAAAACGCTAAAGCTACAAGTCATCGCTCCTTGGGGAATAGGGCACCGGTACGGCGTTGATCTAGCCGACTGCGGCTGAGTTAGCCTTTCTTCCCGTGACGCACCGCGACTGGCACTGCGATCTGCTGAACCCGCACGGGCTGCTTGACTGCCACAGGCTGCAGTCGGACAGCCACGGGCTGCACCACTGCGGCTGGCTGCTTAACCTGTACAGCCAAATCACAATCCAATCAGAAATCAAGAGATCAATATCAAAATCAGTGACAGAATTGCTCTGCAGAATCAGACAAGTAACGTAAGAAACCAAAACGAACTATTCATGATTTTCACACTTCCCATAATGCCTAGTGCTGGGTACGGCGCCATGACAGTTCTCAGCGCATCATGGGTAAGTCACTTTCGAAGTAACCACAATGCTAAAATTCAGCTGGATATTCATCATTTTGGAGACTGTGACCTACATAGGCCTGTAAACAACTTGCCTACATATGTGACCAAAATTAATAACTTGAATGTTAGCGTTAGGTTGTGGCTGCTTCGAAAGTGACTTACCCATGATGCACTGAGAACTGTCATGGCGCCGTACCCAGTACTAGGCATTATGGGAAGTGTGAAATTCATGAATGCGGAGAATTGTTATGTTTTTCCTCACCTGCACTGGTTGCATGACCACCTGCTGCACCGGTTGTTTCTGCACCACCTGCATCACCTGCTGCACCGGTTGTTTCTGCACCACCTGCATCACCTGCACGTAGCGGATGGGCTGACAGTCGAACGGGGTGCCCCGGGTGGCCATGCCGGTGTAGCCGGGCTTGCACCGCTCGCAGCGTGCGCCGGCCGTGTTGTGCTGGCAGTCCTAGGAAACAGGAACAAAAACTGTGATACTCAAGGTAACGGTACCAGTAATTTAGTTTTTCAAACAATTTCATATTCAAAATTTCAAAAAAATTCTGCAGCTAGCTGATTCAAATCCAATGGAGAGGTACGTGTCACTTACAGCACAAACGCCTTGGGCAGCGCACTTGTTGGAGTGGCCATAGCAGAAGCAGACTATTTTGGGGACAAGGGACAAACCATAAATAGATATCTGTCATTTAACATCATTTATATTTCTGATGTGATTTTTAAGATCTATGCAGTTAAGAAGTATAGTCCCCTGGCCAGTACTAGTCGACTAGACCCCGAAGTCCTATCCTCGCGTACCCTGGCCGGGAGCCACAGTCAATACCGGTTCCCCAATTGGCCAACAAGTCGTGAGACCGCCTATCTAAATCAGGGCTACGGTCCATCCAAATCTCCCGGCTGTAACTCTCCCGTAGCGATAATTAAGATCGGCGGGCGTCCTGTCTTTGGCCCCCGAAGGGAACTGGCTAACGGCCAGATATCCAGTCTGATTCCAGGTTAACCTTCACGGACAATAAATCGATATCTAATGGTAAAGAATTCTAATTATGATCTGCCAAGCTTATAAGGGGCTGGCTTTCATTGTCCTCTTATATCAATACAGAATCTTGCTAGTATATAAAGTACCGTATACAGCGATGTACACTCATACTTACACAGCCTACAGTTCTCTTCGTCCGAGCGGTCCCAACAGTCGATGACTCCGTTACAGCGGTCCGTGGCTTTGACACAGCCCATCATGTTAGTGCAGTTCAGTTTGGTTGGACCGTGGCAACTAAACCCAGCTTGAAGTAAAAGACGAAATCACATCTTCCCGTTAAAATTACTTTTTCTTTGCCATTTACAGTTTTCTGGCTAGGCATGCAGAGCAGGTACAGTCTGAAAATGCTAAATTAGCATTTAAAAGTAGCCATCAATTGGCACGTGCTTTATTATCACTGAATATAAAGTCTAATTTACTGAGAGAGAAACGAGAGTACTGTTCAGTTGCTCACCAACAGGGAAACTTACCCTCACAAACACCAAAGCTTGTCACTGCCACCAACACAACGAGGAGAACAAAGAATTTTCCATCCATGCTGGAGCTCAACTTCTTTCAGAAGCAGGAGACTGGGTGGAAGGACGCTTTTTATATGTGTTTGTGTTGCACCATTGCGCATGCGCACACCCATTGGAATTCACTAAGGTCTTTGTTGGTGCGATGCACAAAGACGTCTTTATTTCATAAAAATAACAGGTACCGGTGTAGCACGTAAACAAATAGCAGGGGCACGGGAGCAACGACCTAAGGGCCAGATACAAGGTCAAAGTCAATATGCTCAGCATAGAACAGGTTCTAATAGCTCTAGAATTAACCGCCTGATGAACGTGTGTTGAATTCTGTTTGATTTCTGATGATAATGTAATTCTTATATTTGCTGTATGTTAGTGATAAATACATTGATCTTATTTACTAGTTTTCTTTTCTATAATGTGTGCATTATCCCTCAGTATTTAAGAAGTGTTTGTACTCAAACTGAACGTAATGTGAGTTGCCGATAGATACAAGAGTGACTGTAAATGGGACATACGACCTTACACTATTAGAGTGATACAACAAAATACGATTCAAGCCGCAAGTTTCCATTTGAAAACGTTTATTACTTCAATGTCACACAACTAAATCTTGGTGGGTATACATCTTCTAGAGAAAACACATGTCATAGCACCATGGACCAGAACTTAACAATTGATAAACTTCACACACTTAAAGGTATTCTTAAGACTGTGTCACAAGATACTAAAATGTATGAAAACGCTAAAGCTACAATTCATCGCCCCATGTATACATCTTCTAGAGAAAACACAGTTAATAGCACCATGGACCAGAACTTAACAATTGATTAACACACTTAAAGGTGTTCTAAAGACTGTGTCATAAGAGACTAAAATGTCAAAACGCTAAAGCTACAAGTCATCGCTCCTTGGGGAATAGGGCACCGGTACGGCGTTGATCTAGCCGACTGCGGCTGAGTTAGCCTTTCTTCCCGTGACGCACCGCGACTGGCACTGCGATCTGCTGAACCCGCACGGGCTGCTTGACTGCCACAGGCTGCAGTCGGACAGCCACGGGCTGCACCACTGCGGCTGGCTGCTTAACCTGTACAGCCAAATCACAATCCAATCAGAAATCAAGAGATTAACATGAAAATCAGTGACAGAATCGCTCTGCAGAATCAGACAAGTAACGTAAGAAACCAAAACGAACTATTCATGATTTTCACACTTCCCATAATGCCTAGTGCTGGGTACGGCGCCATGACAGTTCTCAGTGCATCTTGGGTAAGTCACTTTCGAAGCAACCACAACCTAACGCTAAAATTCAACTAGATATTCATCATTTTGGAGACTGTGACCTACAAAGGCCTGTAAACAACTTGCCTAGATATGTGACCAAGATGAATAACTTGAATTTTAGCGTTAGGTTGTGGTTGCTTCGAAAGTGACTTACCCATGATGCACTGAGAACTGTCATGGCGCCGTACCCAGCACTAGGCATTATGGGAAGTGTGAGATTCATGAATGCAGAGAAATGTAATGTTTTTCCTCACCTGCACTGGTTGCATGACCACCTGCTGCACAGGTTGTTTCTGCACCACCTGCATCACCTGCTGCACCGGTTGTTTCTGCACCACCTGCATCACCTGCTGCACCGGTTTCTGTACCACCTGCATCATCTGCACGTAGCGGATGGGCTGACAGTCGAACGGGGTGCCCCGGGTGGCCATGCCGGTGTAGCCGGGCTTGCACTGCTCGCAGTTTGTGCCGGCCGTGTTGTGCTGGCAGTCCTGGAAACATGAAAATAAGATGGTGTTAGACAGGACAGAGACTATCAATGATACGTCAATCGTTAGGTTTGTTTTTTATAGTGAGTCAATTGTCAAAATACAAATGTCCAATCCTGGGTATGATACAATCACACATTGTATACTTACAGCACAAACGCCTTGGGCAGCGCACTTGTTGGAGTGGCCATGGCAGAAGCAGGTTATCACAACTGGAAATGAATGCAAATATAACCACTTAGTATTCCATAATAAACTACTGAGTAATAATACCATAATAAAAATAAAATCAAAGCCTGTGGAAAATTAAGCAAAAATGATCAACATAACATAACACAGATGGCCCTGAGAGCAAGCGAAACATCATGTGATTTTGTTTTGTTTTTGAGGCTTTACTTAACTATTATGTGTTTGTAGTTACATGTTTACTTAAACTTTACATCCAACATAAGTCATAACAGGATCAGTCTACCGAGGAAGACCAGAGTAACTGGTCGAAAGCTCTAGGTGAGGGAACTTCTTTGTGTTGCATCTAAAGTCTTCACTCTAAACAAGTTCTTACTTTGTTGTGGTTTCTGCACCACGACGAAACGCTGGGGCTTATGCAGGACCATCTGCGGCTGGAGGACGACCATCTGCGGCTTGGGGGCTTCCTCCACCGGGGCTGGCTCCTCTGGCTCCTCCTCTTCCTCCCCAGCATCTTCCTCGGCTGCCTCCTCTTCTGCTGCATCTTCCTCTTCTTCTTCTTCAGCAGCTTCCTCATCAGTTGCCTCCTCTTCTGCAGCAGCCTCCTCTTCTTCCTCTTCTTCTTCTTCATCGATCTCTGGCTCCTGTTGTACCGGTAACACCTGCACAGACTTGCCGTTGCTGTAGGTCATGAACACCTGAAGTGGGGCATGCCCAATAAGGGTAAAATCACTTGCATACACGTCGCTTGTAAGACCAAACCTAGGTATTCAAAAACTAGTATTTTTTCAAGAACGATAGTAGAGTGGAACTCGTTGCCACCAAGCACGGTTTTGCCATCACTAGAAAGATTGAGTGTACCAAGTCGGGGGGTCGTGTGGCGCAACGGCAGAGTGCTCGACTCGGAACCAAGAGGTCCCGGGTTTGACATGACATGTCACCGATCTTGTGCCTTTGGGAAAGGCACTTTACACGACTTTCGTCACTTAACTCAAGTGAAAATGAGTATTGTCTGTCCTGTATTTGTTTCTATGTGAGGGACACAACACCAGCAACAGCTGCCTGTGTCCCACGTGTATTGCACTGTTGCAATTCCAATAAATCAAATCAACAAGTCGTTCGGTGTGATAAAGCTACTGACCTGCGGGGCCTGGGCTTGTTGCACGGCCACGAGCTGCTTGACCGGCTGGGCCTGCTGGACAACCTTGACGGGCTGGGCAACCACCCGCTGGGGCTGCTGTCCCTTCTGCTGGGCATAGGCTTGGGCTGCCCAAACTGCAAACATAAAAGTCCTTTGTCAGGTATAATACTATTTACAAAACAAGCAACCGTTTTACGTCAGCGACATCGCATTGTTGCCTCACAGATATCAGTATACTATGGGATAGGATTGACTCAACTTACTAACTGTAACATCAAAAAAATGACTAGGAGATTGACTTTGAAAATCCCGTTTTGCCCCCAAATTGCATTGGATGCCTTTAATAGTATTTACTATCGTTAGTCTTTTTCTTACCGTGCGGATTGTTGCTGTCAAGTTGAACAAAATTCATTAACACCAACTCAGAAAATAGTCTTCATTGTTAAAACCAGGTAGTACTTGTTCGTGTAGTGCCACAAAGGTTAAATCTGACTGAAACAAAGTGTTTTAAAGCCTTACGAAACAGCCGGTGACCCCCCTCCCCCATTAACGATTATAGCGCCCGTCTTACAATGCTGCATTGTCCTCACAGAGTGTATCAGATGTCTAAGTTGCACGTGAGCTCTTTCTTAAGAAAACCTTTAAACATGAACACAACACAGAAACTGGGCCCAGGCACGCCACTATTTAAAACCAGCTGCGTACTGTCTACTATTACCCTGGTACTAATTGCTTTTTCGAGAATAAGGCCATTTTTCCTCCCCTAACTTAAAGCTTTTCTGGGCAGCTGGCTAACGTTAAGTCTCTAAACATGATCATTATAGAGGCGTCGTTAATGTGTTACTATTCACCCCATTCTGCTAAGAGATTCTTTTTAAACTTAGGATTTTCTTATTCATTTGTACAACAACAACAGCACGTTAATTTATGAAACAAGTTTGAACTGCAATATAGCATGTTTATTTCATATCGGAAAACAATGAAAATGATATTTTTCCTCTTGCTTTATTATTCTGGGAATTATTCCTTATTGCATAAACCTTCATACAAGACGATATATGAACCAACTTATACTACTTGTTCTAAGGTTCTAAGGTTTTTTTATATATTTACCTATTTGTACACAGTAAGGGTTATTACCTTCTAGAATGAAATTTAAAGGCATCCAATGCAATTTTAGAGTAGCAAAACTGGAGGTATTCTGAATAAGGGGATCTTTATGATATTCACACATACTGCTTCACATTGGCACATTTGAGTCAGTATTTCATACTTTGGGCATTGAAAACTGCAGAAACAAGCCCCAAGATGAGTCCTTTATTTTTAGGAAGGCACCCCAAAAATCAGCCAAGGGCGCTTCCAGTAACCATTTTCTGTCAGAATTTGGGTACTTTTGTTCCATGAAGGTCAATATACACTGGAATAGTGTTGTTTCAACTCAGTATGTAGATATAAGTGACTAGAATATCAGGTTTCCAAGCCATAAAAACTGCACTGTTCGTACTTACACTGTGCACAGTTCGCTTCGTCCGACCGGTCCCCGCATTCAGCCACACCGTTACAGCGAGCGGTGTTCGGCAGACAGCCATACCCATTGGAGCAGGCAATGTTTGGGTATGCACACACCTGCATCACCGCTAGAGTCTGCACCTGCTGCCTTTTCTTGCTTGGATGACCTTGAGGTAACAGATACATACATAACAGTACTGTTTATCAAACATTGGCTCCTTCTTGGCCATTTATAAGGTTAAGAGGCTCTGTGGAGGGGTTACAGAGCATCAACAGTCACCAGACTTGACACTTGTGGGAAACACAGACGGTAGAAACGTGATATTCTGACAGATGCTGATTTATGTTGGTCTGAACCAAACCGGTTTGCGTGTTGCAAAAAGGGTAGGCTTTGGTCGGATGGGGTGAAAAGTTACTGTCCAAGCAGAGGTTGTGGGGGAATGATCGTTAGCTTTTTATATACGGCCGTTTTTGTCGCTACCCGTCGGTGGCAGACGACCTTCTTTGGCTTATGGATACTGCCTGGCCAATTTGATAATGTCTTTTTGTCACCGAAAGGGATCTGCTTGGAGATCAGTGAAAAGTTAGTAGAGTTAGTTGGTCATTTCGTTACAGTTTCTTATATTCTCGGATGAAGCTTCTGCCAAATTTCTATAATCTCCCAATTTAGACGAACAACCCTATTTTTACGACGCTATACAGTATATGGCTGGTTTATTGGAACTTTCCAAGTTACAGCATCGCAGTAGCCCTTTGCAGGGCCATTGAATTGCACTGATCTTTTACATAGGTTTACTGTAACTACTAGTGCACATATTCAACATAAAATCACCACATATAAGATATAACGTGCTGGGTTATAGCCAAATGTTTTGCTATACTAACTGTGAGAGAGCCTACCGGGCTTACACTGGTCGTACTATGAGCCAAGAGAGGCGCTACCAAGCCAAAACCGCACACAAAAACCGGCGATTAGAAAAGCTACGGAAAACTTTGAAGACCGCCTGCCAAAAGGAAAAGAATCGCAGGCGAAGGGACTAAAGAGTCTGAGCAACTTATTTTGTGCACATAGGAACTCCCAAAGTCGGTTCACTGAATTGATAAACATGCGGTTATTCCAAACAATCACTTTGAGGAATGACGATGGGGTATGGACGCTGAATGTACGTTCAGTTTATCATATTAGAAAATTGTTACCAAAACAATGCCAAACAATAATGGTGGAATACTATGAGAAACTTTAAACTGTTCTCCAACTCAAAAGATTTCCTTTTTTTCAATTGTTGTACCTACATTTTTACTTGGAGAGCATTTTGAAATTTCCAGCAATGTATTTTACCAACTCAGACAAGCTTAAATTCTAGAATGGTAAAGCCTACCTTGGCAAGTTGCAGCCAACGCAACGAGTAGGATGAAGACTTTACCATCCATGTTGAAGATGGAAGAACTATTTTTTTATTTTTACCTTTTCTTTTCAATCGGAGAACATTTTGAAGTTTCTAACAATGCATTTCACTAACTCAGACGAACTTTAATTCAAGAATGGTAAAACCTACCTTGGCAAGTTGCAGCCAAAGCAACGAGGAAGATGAAGACTTTGCCATCCATGTTGATTTTGAAGAAGCTCAAAGTCTTTCCAATAGCCAGAGACGAAGACAAAGAAGACCAGCCAACTCAGAGCCCACCGCGACGGGTAATATAGGATCTCCGGCTCTTCCACGGCGCTTTATATTATCTGTGTGTGGCATCTTTGCGCATGCGTACACGCGGAGGAATCTGGTAAGCTCTTTGTTGCACCACAAAGACGTTTTGAGGTGGAGAAAAACCAGTAAACGAAAAAGGTGACGCGTGTCTGACCCTAGGTCATTTGGGTCACGACGGCTAGCCACAAGACAAAACAGATCCAGTTCTACCAGCAGACATGTACACAGTATATCGTCTGTAGCTTTTCAGTGCATTTAAAGCCATCCAGTGCAGTTTTTAGGGATTGGAAACCCGATTTTTCAGAGCCAAAATTCTAGTCACTTATCCCCATATTCTAAGTTGAAGCCACACTATCCCAATGTATATTGACCCTCATGGAGCAAAAATTCTCAAAATTCTGACGGAAAATGGTTACTAGAAGGGCCCTGGACTAATTTTTAGGGTACCACCCAGAAAATAAAGGACTCATCTTGGGGCTTGTTTCTGCAGTTTTAAAAGCCCAAAGTATGAAATACTGACTCAAATGTGCCAATGTGAAGCAGTATGTGTCAATATAACAAAGATTGCCTTATTCAGAATATTTCCAGTTTTGCTGGCCTGAAATCGCATTGGATGCCTTTATTTTTTAAACCTACTGGTAACACAATTCTTTACAAGAATATTCCCTAAGAACGGTCTAAAATACATTCGTTGGGGATTGTAATGGTTTACTAACAAAGTGCATAGAGTTGTTCTTTATCCCCCGGTATTTCTTTGGTTCACCGCTTTCTTTGTGTAGTGTTTTGGCTCAAACTAAACATTATATGGGCGGTAGACAGGTATGTGAGTGTTTAAAAGGGGGCATATCGTGTGACACCCTAAAGCAGTAACAAATAGAGAAAGAGCTAGAGCCAGCAATATTGGTTTTTAACAACGTTTATTAGTAGTTCAATGGCACATACATGTTAGTTAAACCCTGTGCAGACATACCATACAAAATCCATCATTGCAAGAAAGGCCATTCTTTAAGCACGCCTTAAAGTATGCGTAAAGGTTTTGTGTGTACCTTTATGCGTGCTTTAAAGTGTGCTTAAAGATAGAATTTCCTGCGATGCATTTTCTGTCCCTATGAATCCAAACGTCATAGCCAGTTGTCATCACATATACCTTTTCAAAATCAATGCCTCACAGAGGTACATAGTAGGTTAGTACTTAGTAGCACTAAGAAAGATAGCAACACAAATATTGTTGATATTAGACCCTGTTTCCATACTAATCTGATATAAATAGCACCAATGTTGTGAATTACTGAATGAGTTAGATCTATTTAGCACCTGTTTATAATGTGAGATTTACATTTTCAAGAAAAGCAACATTTTTGACCAGCTATCAACCTTCCTACCAACTTTCTGAAGTCTACGTACCTAGTGTATTGATGTACATTATGGAATTCTGTGAAAAAAAAGCGAATTTTATATTCAATTTTTTAACTTCCAGATTGTTGTAGAACGACGGGAAAGCGGCATTTAACCGCTAATTAAGATATATATAAAACAAACAAACAAACAATGGTGGTTCAAATTCCATACGGTCGGTACATGGGGATGTACGAATTACTTATTCCGGCTGCTTAAAGGACTGTGCCACGTAGGCAGCTGCAGGTGCCACGTAAGCAGGTGCAGCATCCTTCACGTGCATGGGTGCCGCCTGGACCACAGCTGCAGCCTGCTTCACGTGCATGGGCGCGGCCTGCACGTAGGCGGCGGCCTGCTTCACGTGCAGCGGTGCCTCAAGAGCGGCGGCTTGCGGCTGGTAGTAGTACTGCACGTAGGGCTGGCAGTCGTAGGCGGTGCCGCGGGTGGCCATGCCGGTGTACCCGGGCCTGCAGTACTGGCACATGTTGCCGATGGTGTTGTGCTGGCAGTTCTGGTAACGAATGACATCAGAACATCAGACCATGACAAAACCAACCGTCAACTAGCCTCCTGTGCAGGCTCCGGGGCGGGTTGGTATTTCGATACAACGTTTTGAAGACTTTTTAACTCATCCTACAACCAGCAAATGGAACCTTCTCTCGGCGGCTGGTTGTAGGATGACCGGCTATTAAGATAACGCATTAAAAACTAGTTCAAAACGCTGTGTCAAAATTCTCACCCGCCCCGGAGCCTGCACAGGAGGCTACCGTGAACAAGGAGCTAAGACAGGCTTTAGCGTCACTATATTTGCAGAACATATAGCCAACAGTACACATATAGCCAACTATCATGTGGCATTAATGCCAATGTCGTAGAATGCGAAAATGTAAAGAAATGAACTTGAAGAGTAGATTATTCGCCATACCATACTCTGTGTCATTTCTTCAACCTTCATGACCACTTAGATTTCATAATGAAAGTAACTTTTTTTTTTGCAAAACTTTTTTTATTCGCACGCGCGCACCAGTTTTGGGCTTCCCAGAGGATATCATCCATATAATCAAATCAACATGGCCTAACCGTTATATTTTGTACTTACCGCGCAGACGCCCTGGGCAGCACACTGGTAGGAGTGGCCATAGCAGTAGCACGTCGGGGCTGGGGTGGGAAGAAGTACAAGACGAAAAACATGTTACTTGCTCTTTGTGGCCCAGGTTTTTCACAAGAAGTAAACAAAAAGTGAAGATGAAAGAAAGACAGAAAGAAAGAAAAGAAAGAAAGAAAGGAAGGAAGGAAGAAAGAAAGAAAAAGAAAGAAAGAAAAACAACGAAAGAAATAGAGAGGAAGAAAGAAACTAAGAAAGAAGGAAGGAAGGAATGAGAGACTGACAGAAAGAAAAAGGAACAAAGAAAGAAAGAAAGAAAGAGGATCGAAAAGCAAACTGCCAATCGCTAGAACATATTAAGTGATAAGAGGCACTGATTTGTATTTGAATAAACCTCATCTCATAAGAAATAGAATGAAGAGTTGACCTTATGCATGGCAAGAAATATTATCAATTATTAATTGATTAAAGATTTCTCCGGTTCAAGCTTACCTGAGTAGTACTGGACCTGTTGGGCCGGCTCGGCGTAAGCCTGAGGTACGTACTGTACGTACTGCGCAGCATCGGGCTGGTAGTACTGCAGACTGTAGGTACCACGGGCTGGGAGGAATCAGAAAAACAATAAACTCCGTGGTAAAATTTTATGAACAGAAACAAGAATTCAAACTAAGAGTCTCATTTAGTTTCTGTATCTGTATAGCCGGCATAACCGCCCTTCGGCGTAACACACCAGCTTCTGTATCTGTACAACCGGTATAACCGCCCTTCGGCGTAACACACTAGCTTCTGTATCTGTATAGCCGGTATAACCGCCCTTCGGTGTAACACACCAGCTTCTGTATCTGTATAGCCGGTATAACTGCCCTTCGTTGTAACACATCAGCTTCTGTATCTGTATAGCCGGTATAACTGGCTTCGGCGTAACACACCAGCTTCTGTATCTGTATAGCCAGGATAACCGCCTTTTGGCGTAACACACCAGCTTCTGATGTGTATAGCCGGGATAACTGCCCTTCGGCGTAACACACCAGCTTCTGTATCTGTATAGCCGGGATAACCGCCTTTTGGCGTAACACACAACTTCTGTACCTGTATAGCCGGTATAACCGCCCTTCAGCGTAACACACCAGCTTCGAAGGCACGCAGTATATGTATGCAGTGTACAACAGAGCATTACTATACACAGAGTAGTACCAAAGGTATATCAATCAATCACCAGCGTATTTCTCCTACGATATGTTTTGTTAAAAGGGTTTAAAATAATTCACTTAACCCCAGTCCAGCGTGTTTTCCTGAGGGGAGTTTTACAACAAGGCATGTTTGTATGGTAGAACCCCACAGGTGGTTACACCTGTATATACTGGGGAGATCTTTCATCTCAAGCCCCAGTGGGGTCGTGTGGCGTAGCGGCAGAGCGCTCGACTCGGAACCAAGAGGTCCTGACATGCCACTGATCTTGTGCCCTTGGGAAAGGCACTTTACACGACTATCTTTACTTCGCTCGGGTGAAAATGAGTATTGCATTGTCCCGTGTTGTGTTGGTGGTGGCATTAATATAAGTTGAAAAAAAAACTTGAGTGTCCCGTCACCACGTCTTGTGAGTACGTGTTGGAATAAAAAAAGCCCCTGTGGACATATTCAGAACCTTCCAACGAGCACCAATAGAAACTTGAAGGATGACTCCATCTTACTTTTTTCTGTAATTTTAAGCTAGAATTCCCTGCGAAATCAGTAAAGCGAGTTTTGCAAGCTTCAGAAGATGTCATACCGCGGTATGAAGTTGGACTCAATATAGATTTTTTTATATTCCAACATGTAATCACAAGACGTGGTGACGGCACACTCAAGTTTTTCCAACTTATATTAATGCCGCCACCAACACATGGGACAATACAATACTCATTTTCACGTGAGCGAAGTGAATAAAGCCGTGTAAAGTGCCTTTCCCAAGGGCACAAGATCGGTGGCATGTCAGGACTCGAACCCGGGACCTCTTGATAATGAGTCGAGCACTCTGCCGCTACGCCACACGACCCCACGATTCCAGTGTAGATCCCTGTCACTCTGGCATTTCCACACGTGTAACCTCCAAATAGCTGATAAGACCGCAGTATTTACTCAACAATGTATCTCACTTATTGAAGTGCGGAAAGACTTCCTGTGTCAAATCCATATCTTTAACCGCTAAACCTACTATGTTCTTTTAAGTTACTCCGTTTCCAACATTCCTTCACAACTTTTCAAACGTGTATAGAGATTTTTAAAACTTTTCGTAAGTGAGTTTTGGAGAATCTGATGATTAAAAATGTTTTAAAACTTTCCCACAAATTCACACCGACAGTTTAAAAACTTTCATACAAATCTACACCGACAGTTTAAAAACTTTCATACAAGTCTACACCGACGGTTTAAAAGCTTCCTCACAAATCTACACCGACAAATCTACAACTTCCACAATACCAGCTTTGTATTCCTGTGGGTAAGCAGCAGTTTTTTGGCTGGAATTTTTTTTCATTCACCTGCGCGGACTAGTTTGGGGGTCTTCAGAGGATGTCATCCATAAAATTAAGTTAGTGGGGCGTTAGTACATTTTGACAATAGCTTGTGCTTTAAATATTCTTAAGATTAGAGCATGCAGAAAACAAAGCATACCTTCACCTTCCTGGACACTTGCGACCATCAGGGCCACGACAAGAACGAAGAAGGCGTTTCCAGACATGATGACACTGATATCTTGTCTTCTCTCTCACACACAGAACGTCAAGAAGCTGGCCTGGTGCTGGTCTTCTCGTTGGAAGTCTGAAGAAGTTGTCGGGTGCTTGGAGCTTAGTTTGCCGTCCCTTTTTAAACGGTAAGTCCGTGCGTTTGCGCATGCTTGAACATAAATCTACCAATGATAACCGTTTGTGTCACTGACAAAGCAGGGAATCCACTTCTAAAAAAGGTGTGGCAAATGAATGACATCGTCATCGGTAAGTGGTTGGGTCTCAAAAGGTCAGATTGGATAACTACAGAACCAAAACAAACCAGAGACATGTAAACCCGCAATGTCTAGAATTCTTGGTCACGGCTGGCAACGGTTTTAACAAAGACACCACAAATAAAGTAGATTTATTCAACACAGAGATAAGAAGAACTGCTCAAAGATGTGCTCCTTAAGGATGATCTGATGCTCTTGTCTGTCATCTATCTCATTTTCGTGCGGAAACGTCCCTGTTTTTATGTTTGTTTCTTTTGAATACCAAAACATCTTTTGGAATACCAAAACATCTTTTGGTCTAATCACACCCTTAATGTGTCACCGAGAAAATGTTTTTTCTGGTCGGTTCTTTTATCTTAATTTGACAGCTTCTCAATGGTTTGGTTTTTGAAGTGTTTATCTGTTTACACATACTTAAGGTATCATTGCCTCGTTAGCAGGGGAAACCTGTTATGTCAACCTTAAACCTTTTCATTGAGTAGACTGTCAATACTATTATGTTAGTGCTGGGTGGTTGGGTAAACGTTTACGCTTGTCTTTGTAAATACGATGTACTTCTGCGGTCTAAACAGTGACCTATGGATAATTGATGATTGTGTGTGGAGAGAAAGACTGCTGTATCGCCGTTCTAACAATCTTGGTCAGGTGCCTGTACGGCCGCCAGGCGGGACCCGGCGGCTAGGTTATACGGCTTGGTCCGGTGAGGTTACGGCGTCGCTTCGGCGTACCTTAACTTGCCCGACGGGGCCCGAAGTGATTTTAAGTTTGAGTTAAAATCAATTCGGCGATCGCGCGGGGCCAAAAATTGGCCGGCAGCCGGCAGGAACCCCACCAGTCTCCGTCCAGGTCCGCGATTCGATAGTGCCGAAAAACAGGCCGAAACGCGTCGAGCGGGCCCCTTTCTTGAATTGTGACCTAGGCTTAAGGTGGGGCATGTTGGACTATACGTACGGAGTAGGGACATTGTCTTAGGCCCCCATTCCACTAGGACCGCGCCCTCACCGCGCTCTCTCTGCGACCTGAAATTGGTCGGAGCGTGGAGAGAGCGCCGTGAGAACGCCAAGGTCGCCATGTTTTGTATCTAAATTAACGCGAGAGTGTCGTGAAGTGGAATGGGGTATTAGGTCGTTGTGATACCGATATTAGGTTATTCTACCGTAGAATGTTCAAGCTGCAAGCGGGCTGTGACAAAACCAACCGCGGCGACAATGATCTAAGGCAGCCTTGTCCTTAACAATGTAACAATGCGTCCAAATTTGGCAGGACACTTGTACGACAAGAATTCGATCCCAGTTTATGATCGCGCGACGATCTCACGACAAATGTGACCAGGCCCCAAAAAACAATCCAAGTGTACTGCACTATTGTGAAATAGTTGGCAACAGTATACCTTGCCCTTAAAGTTAGTTTAAGAGTTTACGAAAACTTTACGAAATTCAGAATCTCAACGTTTTCTTTGATCGGATAGGAGGCGCTGTTTCTCCATTATCTCAGTAGTTGGATGTGTCTTTCTAGTCAGAGTGTTCCATTTGTCAAAGAAAACTTTAAAAATGGAACAAATGGCATCATTTCCTAGGGCATAGACCCTTTTCTTTTTACAACAGGCCACTGTTATGTCTTGCTGTCATACACACGGGTCCAGCTATTATCAACGACTAGGATTCAATGTTCATTTACGTTTGTTCGTTCATTCAAGCTATTAGCTTCATACTTAATTGGTAAATTAAAGAAATCGAGAATGCTGATGACGGGCAAGATACATGTTAATTCATTTAATTCATAAATAGATAATAAATGTCTGTTTTATTTACTACTAGGGACAATATCTCAATTTTCGATGTAAATGTGTTAAGATGATCTAAAGAGAACGATTCGGACACAATTTTGTCTACAATGTTTTATTGTCAAGTTTGAATATGACATGAAATCTCATCATATGCTATATGATATAGTATAGAGACAAGGATATGGCAAGATACTTGCAGTGACCACGAAACTACATACTTTATAATTACTGGTGATAATATTACAAAAAATCAAAACATCACACTCGTCAAGCTTTTGTGATTTGATAACAATGATGAACATCACACAGATACATAACCTCAAGCTCAACAGCAGACTTTTAGGCGTCGGTTTTGATATTGTTTGTTTTTAAAGTGGCCCTTGACCAATCTTAATTTCTTTTACATGGAGAACAGCTTTAGACTTCGCTTGAAAGTTCATTTATGCTCAGTGGAATTTATTTTGAAGAAGGATCCATGAACTTCAATAACCAATACAAAAGATACAAATACAAAATATCTTAATAAAGACGGAGGGCGCCACAAGCATTCTGCTACATATGATCCACTTTTGTCATGACGCCATATGGTTCATGGTAAAAATTAAACTGTTCTCCAACTCAACAGGAATTTGACTTACGATTTTCGAACGAATCGCTCGGTATTTATCAGCTGACTCAAGTGCTGTAGACACGTGATTTTTTCGCTCGTGTGACGTCAGCAATGGTTCAAAGTTCATCGGAAGTTGGTACCGACCCCTGTCCCTGTATTTTACGGTGCAACTCAGATGAACTTTTATGCTAAACGATATATCCATTGTTAACAAGACTCGTGTTGCGGAAAATTTACTTTTTTGTGTTTGCAATTACAGCTAAAAGATCAATTTTCTTGTCTTATTCTCTTTCTCTACGTTCTTTTTGTTGTGTTCTACTGGAACATCCAGTTGTTGAGGCGGCGCCTGGGATGCCCCCGCGGGATGAACTGTACGTACTGGACCGGCTGACAGTCCATCGGGGTGCCCCGGGTAGCCAGACCCACGTACCCCTGCTGGCAGTACTGACACTGCATGCCCTCCGTGTTATGCTGACAGTTCTGAAAATCAACATAGTAATAAATTCAACGTAGAAATGGAAAGATATAAAAAAAAACAATTCCAGAGGCCAGAGGGTTATTTGTCCATTATGTCCAAATGAGATTGAAGATCACTTTTTTATGGCTTGTCCACTATATGACCCAACTACATCAGGTCATTGCATTTACCACCCCTCAACAAAGACGGGGGGCGCCACAGACTTTCTATGATCCACTGCTCACTGAGTCACGAGTGTTATACGGTAACAGAAGCGGTGGATTGCTCATACCTTGACAAAGACTGGAGTTGAACAGTCGTAGATTTGGGTCTAATTCTAAATAATGTGAAATGAAATTTGACTCTCTGGTTTACTTGAGTGAAGTTTTTAAGTGCTGGTACTTACTGCGCAGACTCCCTCAGCCGCACACTCAGTAGCGTGGTTGTTACAGTAACACGTGATCACCCTCTGGGCTGGAGGGAAACGCGGGAAAAGTAAGTCTTGCAATTCTGATTATCATATAGCCAGTTGACGTTGACCAATCAGAGGTCCCCATTTCCTGATGTTTATGACGCCATAACCTACCCAGCGGTGATTACATCCCATAAACCCCGGAACCAATCAGCGTCGACTGTTCTGTTCATATTACGTCAGATCCAGTATGAATCGGGTTAGAGAACATTGCCCGCTCGCTCGGTGGTTTAATTCGCTGGTTATAGCAACTGACAAGGCTTTATCACACCATATACACCTCGGGGCGGGTCATTAACCCTTAATTCTCACATACATGCCATTATATACAGCTAGGGTTTTATACATATTATGTGAGACCCCCTTTCATCTCTACGTTGATTTTTACTCACTCATCAGAACCTCAAGAGCGATCGCATTAACAAGAATAAAGTATGGTAGAGTAATTCGCATACCAAATATTTGCATATGCCTACCAGTGATTTGCATATGCCTACCAGTAATTTGCATATGCCTACGACTGATTGATGGAAACAAAAATGGTGCTCGCCCGTGTATGACTGACCTGGCCGGGGTTTCTTGACGACCGTGACCTTGCTGGGAGGGTGGATGACAGCCTGGGGAGCCGGCAGTCCGTTCCGAAGATGCATGGCCCAGTCTACATCATAAAAAAGTAAGTTGTTTAGCATTCACAGTACATCCTATACATGTTGTTGATTCAGCTTCTGCCCCCCTCCACCACTGGTAAAATATTATACGATGCGATTTCAGGGTGCAAAACAAAGTATTCTGGATGACGAAATCTGTCTGATGCTGACATTTACTGTCATTTCTTAGCATAATTTCGACATCATTTTATACTTGTTTGAACGTTTGAGCTAGGCGTAATAACAAGCTACATGTACATGAGGAATCCTTTCATTTTCTGATACCACCAATAAATAGATAGAACCAGCCTTAGATACGAAACAATCTCTTGTATTCTGTCATCGTAGAGACGTCGTATTTGTTCTTCATAGTTCTCAGTATGCAATGGGATATGGGTGACTCATTTTAATTACATTAAACAATAGACCAGAAAATTGGCTTTACAAGTCCAGTTACTGCCTTAAAAATCACTTTAAGTGCCTTTGAGTAACAGAAAATGTGTAGATTGAGATTACATCCCCTTCTAGTAACTAACTGACACACTCATGTATATATTTACGAATTTTTAAAGGAAGCTTAAAGATATGAAATATGTTTACGTCGTATTTAAGCACACCAAAAGGTGACGGGAAGGCGGAATTTGCCTTTCAGCGGCATTTACGAAGTCGTAAAGTCTACTGAAATATTTTCTCACCTTTAATACTTCTTTTCATACTGCGGAAAGTATGCTTAAATGTCTGTTTTCGTGCTGTGTATAAAATGGAGCAAAGAATACATTCTGGATTTGCTAGTGGGTACGCTACACACTTTTGCCTGCCTAAATATATTCCGCCTCTATTTTTGTATCTACCTTAATACGAGATTTATCTCGGATTTGCACGCCAGTCTGTGTACCTTAACGTTAAGGTAACGTTGATGTACCTTCCGTGCAGACTTCTGTTTGTCTTGGTTCTTTCAATCACTACTTAAGTACAGCACAAATATCCTTAAGTGAGCTTCTATCCGACCCAGATGGGCGGATTACATGGATTGAACGCAGCTGTATTTTAGTTGACAGCGTGTAGACTAAATTCGCTCGGATATGTGTTTCTAAATACGAAAATACCAAACGGAGACTCCAAAGAAATATGTACTGTAATGGCGTCGCTCAGAAATGATTGTGTTAAGAGGAAGCTTCCGTTGTATATTTACTGCACTTACAGTGAAGGGTCTTTTACATTTCACTAGGGATTTTCAAGGCCACGTATTGACGATTGGGTTTAGAGGACTAATATTTTTCGGTCCGAATCAATATAATTTAGTATCATAATTATCAGTTTAAGTATCCTTATATATCATGATATTCTTTCTTCGTGGCTTCACTACAATTTTACACGTATCTAGCTTTCAAAATTTGAAATATTAATCATGCTTACCTCAAGTATGATAGCTTGTTCGTAGAGTGTGCTTTACATAATAACTTTGTCTACATTATATAAATAACTATTAGTCCTCCTTGTTTTAGCATTGCTTATAGTTTATAGGTGTATTATGTGGAGAGAATAGTAAGGTTTTGTATTCGGGGTCCTGATACTGTAAAACATGTGTGAATAGAATAGAATAGAATAGAATAGAATAGAATAGAATAGAATAGATGGCATTTAATAGAATAAGATACAATAGAATGAAATAATTTTCAAATAGAACAGAGGAAGACTACAATGGAATGGAATGGAACAGAATAGAATAGACGAATAGAATGGACGAACAATAGAAGACTAGAATAGCTAGAACAGAATAGAATAGAACGGGAGAGTAGAACGGGATAATAGAATAGAATAGCATAGAATAGAATGGAATAGAATAGAATAAAATAAAATAGAAAAGAAAGGGAGAATAGAATAGAACGGGAGAATAGAATGGGGGAATAGAACGGCAGAATAGAATGGGGGAATAGAACGTGAGAATAGAATGGGGGAATAGAACGTGAGAATAGAATGGGGGAATAGAACGGGAGAATAAAATGAGGGAATAGAACGGGAGAATAGAACGGAAGAATGGAATAGAATAGAATAGACCATTCCTTACAGTCCACGCAGTTCTCCTCGTCAGAGCCGTCCGGACAGTTGTAGACGCCGTCACACCTCTGCCGCCCGGAGACACAGCCCGCCCCATTGGTGCAGGGGATGTGGGCGGGGTAGTAACAGGAAGTGACGTACTCTAACTGTTCATACTCCTGAAGGTCATTCAGACCGCTACCTGGGACAAATCAGATACAAACAAATTAACGTTATTTTTTTGTGTTAAAGGCGGTACAACATAAAACTAACCGTTAATCATATGCCATATGAAAACCGTTTCTGAATATTTCGCAAACATATTTTGAAGCTGTCTAGTTCCAGTAATATTATAAAGACATTATGAACACTAGAAAGGTAACACTTGCAAAGCAAATGCATAATGTTTACCTTCGCATATGGTCTGCTCTGTTAATTCTTACTCCAACACATTCATATATATGGTCAGACAGGAGTATAAATCCTTCCTTCTATAAAATTGCAACATTATGTAACCCAACACCAGTTACCATGGTGACAGACGGTCTGATTCAGGTCATAGACCAGGTCAGAGGTCAGTGTTTGGAGAAGAAGAAGAGGAAACGTAGCAAAAACAATATGTTTTCCTTCGGTAAACATAATGAATGAACCAAGACATGGCCGTAACGAATACTGTTCACCACCGCTACATGGGATCAAAAGTTAATCACACTGTTTATTTATGTTGGAGACTTGAAACCAAACGCAATAATTGCGGTGCTTTCGCAGGTGTAAGGGCGGAATCGGCTGAACGTTTTACTCAAAAGAAGCAATATCATAGGAAATAATTTAACTAGCTACCCCCTTTACCTACTATTTGTGCTATCATAGTAGTGACCAAGGACTGAGAAGCAAATTTATTGCTTCCAATGTACTCAATGAGACAATTCTATTACGTTATATAACAGACATCTATAAAGATAACATAATCGGGACCGTTGGTAAAGATAGTAGGGTATGGAAAGTAAACACTTCCTCAGGCTAAAACAGCATATTCATTGGTCAGGTCATGTGTGCATAATATATAATTAGGTGAGAAAAAATGTAAGATATTATAGTCTCAATATGGTTATGCTACAGAATGGTGGCATGCTTTTTTGTACAATGGTGACAACAGAGAAAAAAATGCCTTACCCTCTGATCGTGCCAGTGTGGCCACCACTGTAGTTATCACAAACAGCGCTCTAACGATCATGGTTTCCAGTCAAAACCCCAACAAGCAAACCCCAAAAATTTGGCTCCACCACAACAAGCTTAAATCACTTCCTTCAGGGACGTCTGTACTCCCAGATGTGCGCTCTTTTGGACCAGTGCGGCGCATGCGTGGATGTGGCTTGGGCGCGAGACAGAAGACAATCAGAGTTAGGCCAAAGCACGTAAATTTTATGGATGACATCCTCTGCAGACACCAAATCTAATGCGAGCGGGCGAAAAAAAACAAGGCGGGCGGAAAAAAACAAGGTTCCCGCATTTTCAAATTTTGGCTCAATCATTGTATTTTTTAAATGGCTTTGATTCAGTGAAAACTTCACACATACACAGCCAGCATCACATATCACTGCATCAAAGTGAAAAACAAAACATTAAATCAGAGCCTTTTCTTGTTTCCTCTCTTCATAGTCATCTGCCATCCACGTTCCGGCATGGCAACAGACATCTTTGCCCATTTTCGGCATGTTGACCACCGTCAGAAGGCAACAAAATTTCTTGTATTTTTTCCAAAATCAGGCGAAAATTGCTGATGTCATCCATAAAAATTACTTGCTGTGGCCTTAAGGAGGAGAAGGAGAATTGTAAACTTTAGGGTGAAGCCTGTGAGGCACAGGTGCAGACGGTCGCGACTGCTAGCCACTAATCTAAACAAACCTGGATGTTATAAGAGACGCGTAAGATACACAAATCTACTGATCTGTTCCCGCCTTTTTACCTTCATTCCAAACAGTTAAAGAGCTTTGCTCAACCGGCCGCTTCAAGAGCCTGGCTACGTCACGCTTCCAGCAGCTCTTCCACTGGTAAGGCCACAGCAAGTAATTTTTATGGATGACATTAGCGCGCGCATTGATTTTCGCCTGATTTTGGGGACAAAAAAGAAATTTTGTTGCCCTTTGACACCGGTCAACATGCGAAAATGGGTAAAATGGCATGTCTTGCCATGCCGGAACATGTATGGCAGATAAACATAAAGAGGGTAGACAAGACAAGGCTCTGGTGTATTGTTTTGTCAAAGGTATTTTAGTGACAAATGGATGTTGTAACAGTTAGTGGTAAACTTAGCACAATATAGGTATCATTTCTTGTTTAACAAGATTTATGATGTCTAAAATTTGAAAATGTAGGAATCTTTTTTTTGGGGGGCCCGCCTTTTTTTTCGCCCTGTCACATAAGATTTAGAGTCTGCAGAGGATGTCCTCCACAAAATGTACTTGCTGTGGCCTACGGTCTATTGTATCCAGACCCTATCCAGTATCTATCTAATAATAATTCTAAGCGTGAATGGGATAGGGTTAGGATCAGGCACGGTTTTGGATATTCTCCGCGTAATTATTAAGAACGTAGATTAAATATTTGTCTCATGCACGATTCTGGATACGCGTGGACTATCCAGAACCGTGCCTGAGAACAAACAAAGTGACGACTGAAATATCAACAAGCATCTATGTAAGTACTCCTGCTGCCTTGCTTGACTGCCTAGTGTATAAACAATTGCTGTATCAAAGTACTCAGTGTTGAGAAAGAATGCCGCCAATGTGTATATTGTATGTCCCGGTTTGTTTCCTTTAAAAACATCCACATGCAGCCTTGATAATTCTATTTACGTAGTGCAGGATCTAGAAATAATGTTTTAGATGTGCTCATGAAGTTTAGACATCCAGGCAATGAGCGGATTCGCTTGTTCATTTTTTTCTGATTTGAAAAAAAAATATTCCTGATCTGAATCAACTCAAAATGCTCATATTTTGCCCCCAACAGTTGAGTCCTTTTCTTCCTAGTTCCTACAATTTTTCCATCTATCAATGCAGTGGTTTGATTGAAAGTTCAAAATTCATTGTTTAAGTAATAATCCACCATTTTGTGTTGACTTAAAGTCTCCTATCATTGCATTTGGAGCTATAATAGGGTGTCTAGACCTATTTTTTCGCCCTGTCGCTTCATATCTTTTGTGAAAAAATCCAGAACCAACAAATTAAATTGGTATGGCCTAACAGTTACTCGTTCAAGCAACTGGATAGATTTTGACAACGGCCAGACGTTTCATGTAGCATCCACTACCTTTCGTCAGCCACCAGTCACTGACGAAAGGTAGTGGATGCTACCTGAAACGTCTGACCGTTTTCAAAATCTATATCCAGCTGCTTGAGTGACTGTTACCTTTGTAATGTTTTACATACTTTCTCCCATATTTGTTTGCTACCTCTGTGGCACTTCGCTAGTTAGCTTGTTGTTAAGAATTCGTGATCAAACAGACAGACCATACCTCAAGGCCCTGCCGACATGTTTAATGTTTTAACTTACGTATTCTAAACATTGACCTTTCAAACAAGTCTAAGCTTGCTGGTGTGTTGATACAAGGGGGTAGTTCATTAAGCTTAGAGCTAGGTAGGAAATCTGACACCTTCTAATTGCATTACTGTTTTTGATTTAGAAAAGTTGTTTATGTCTTAAGAAATTATACAAAGGTACATACTGGGATCTTATAAATCTGAGAATATGCCAATCAGAAAAATTGATTATTTTTGTAAAGAGCATTGCAACCAAATGCACTTAGCTGCTTCTAAATTGGCATTTGTTGCTATATCAAATTCGCTAATTCGCTTTTGTTTTTGGATCAAAAGCTATATTGACATGTACTTCATTGTCTTGTACACTGTTGATAAATTTACAAATACAGAATATGCTCATCATTCATACAATGAACCAGTTTATAATAATTCATCTTTGCAACCAAATTATGCTTGTGTCTACTCTTTTTATGTGAATGCTCAGATGCGAAAAAAAATCTTTCCATTCCGGCACTTGGTTAAAGATTACCAACAGTAGCATGAGAAAAATGATCACAACAAAGAAAGTTACGAAAGCATGAAGCATTTATTGGTGAAAGTTAATTAACGAGGTACAGTGGATGAAATGCGGCCTTCGGCCTTTTTCGTGCGTGCATATCTCAAGGATAATAACACTGTCAACGTGGCAACTCTTTTAGGCATCGAAATCATATCATTTAATAGCTCTAACATTTAACAACAGCGCACCTAGGGCACCTAAAACCACCAAGCAGTAAAGCAAATGAGTCGATCAGAAAAGCGAATCTCACCACTTCAAAGGGAAAACGTGCTCAATTTAAAACAATTAAAGCTATAATGCCTACTTCCGAATACAAGTAATGTTAACATCAACTGTAGTTGTACAACTTCATTTGTGTGATATGTATCTTTAAAAGTTAATTTACCTGTAAACTGTTTTGCCTGAGATGTTGAAGCACCATTATGAGATCAAACTTGATACATCTTACCTACTTAATACTTTAAAATCCAAACCACATCAAAACGATTGCCCTATTGGCATCGAAAGTTCATTCACGGATGACGATACAATCTTGATCAGTATATTGGTTTATCAAATACAGCACCAACTTCAAACACCTATTCTTAAATTCATCCTTTGGTGTTAAAAACCCTGTATAAGTAAGCACCTTGTTGTGCAAAAGTGCACAAGAGAGAAACGATCTTACCATCTAACTTATGTAGCACCTTTTGGACAAACTCTAGATCTCCTTTTGATATCTTTTCTATTTGGTCTTTGTTGACAATATGGTACCTTACATGCAGGCCGTGAGTAGAAGCTGTGTTTTCGAGCTTTGCTTACATCCACATTAACATACACTTGCTTTTCCATTTCTTTCCAACAAAACGACATTCTCGTCTTAAAACTACATACAGGTGGTATCTATTTCTTCGCGTTTTGATCACTCTTCTTCCGCCATCTTGTCTAGTTCAAAGGTCAAAAGCCACAGCCTCGTTTTGGTTTGCAAATCAACGACCTCCATGCGGCATCACGTGATGCTGAGGTGTTTACTTGGGCATGCGGAAGGTCATGACGGGTTTCTTCTGCTGCACGACCTGCACCGCGACCAGCTGCTGCGCCGGCCGGCAGGCGTCGGCTGTCCCCGAGGTGGCGAAGCCTTCGTAGCCTTCGATGCACTTCTCACACTGGTCACCCTCGGTGTTGTGCTGGCAGTCCTGAAAATTAAAAAAAAAATCCGAGATTAGAAAACAAATCAACAGAGACACAAGCATCCTGCCTATAACTCTCCATGCGGAGGTTGTGGAGGAATGATCGTTAGCTTTTTATATATGGCCGTATTTTGTCGCTACCCTCACCAACGTCGGTGACCGGCGACCTTCTCTGGCTAATGGATACTGTTTTCGTTGCCACCGAAAGGGATCTGCTTGGAGATTATCTGCCTATTACCTATTGATATGTACTCATCAGGCTAGTACCTGGCCCTTGCTCCTCTCCGTAGGGTACCTCCAAATACCACGGTCCCTTTAGCTAGCCGAAAGTTCTGCCTGTAAACCTAATCTTGTATCTCTTTTATATCTTTTGAAGCGCGTTAGTCACTGTCAATATACACTATTTTCTTTTAAAGGGGCCAATTAAGACGTTAGCTACCAAAATGTTAGTCATCATAACCTCGAAGATATTCCGAGATGTTCATACTTACTGCGCAGATTCCGTCATCGGCGCACACTGTGGAGTGGTTGTGGCAGAAGCAGGTGATGCGTCTCTCTGTAGAAAAGACAAAACAAGTCAACTTTCCAATTGTTGTTACGATATATACTACTATTACTTCTACTACTACTACTACTACTACTACTACTACTACTACTACGACTACTACTACTACTGCTGCTGCTGCTACCACTACTACTACTAGTACTACTACTTCTACTACTACTACTACCACTACTGCTGCTGCTGCTGCTACTACTACTACTACTACCACTATTACTACTTCTACTACTTCTACTACTACTACTACTACTACTGCTACCTCTGCTACCTCTGCTGCTGCAGCTGCTAGTCTACTAGACCACTACCACTTCTACTACTACTACTACTACTACTACTACTACTACTACTACTTCTACTAGTAGTACATTTGTACTACCACTGCTACTACTACTACTAGTACTACCTTTACTACTACAACAATTATTGGATATGGAAAGAGTAGGGAAGTGGAAGATTAGCCAGAGTCTTACCAGGTGGAGCCTGCATGACAGATGTACTAACTCTCAGCTCTTCTAGATGCATTTATTTCTTGCGATATACAAAGTTTGCGAAGTGAAAGATTAGTCAGAGCCTTACCCGGCGGAGCCTGGCAGATGTAGTGGCGGTCGCGGCAGCAGGACTCGTCGTTCCAGCGGAAGTAGCCGCCGCCGTTGGGGAACATCTCCACACAGTCCTCGTCCTTGCCCTGGTCGTTAGGCTCGCCCGGAGCCCACTTCATGAACTTGCCCAGCGGGGTGGAGTCAGAGTACATGAACTGGTCTGTTCATCGGGGTAAAAATTTAAAAAAGAGCTGGTGTAAGGTTGATGTATCAAGATCAGATCCATTTTACCAAATGACATCTACGTTGAGGTCAATGCCATTTAGTTTTACACCTTCTATAATCTATGACTTGTACAATGATGATGATGACCAAAACAACTCTATTAGAAGCAGTAAATTTGTAGACGTCATTCAATTCTGTTTGCTAGCTTTACAAGCAGTAAAGTATGATGAAGTGAAAGACGTACTCTCAGTGGCCCTGTCCTCCAGTCCGATCCAGTGGTTCTCTCCTGGGTTCACCACATTCAGGTACTCAGACAGGAACATGTGCTGGTTCTCATCTGGAAAAAATAGGCGCATTCTGTGAGCAGAATCTTCTGACATTCGAGATCTGAGATAAAAGTTTTGGTTGAGACCTTGATCATACTGCTGATGGTAGCCATGGTTAATCTAAGGGCAAAATTGTAAGAGTTTTGGTTATTTAAGAGAAACCTACTGTTGATGCTCGCCAGGGTGGCTCCCAGTTCGCTACACTCGGTCTCAGCCGTGGTGTAGTTCACGGGAGCGCTGGAGAAGGAGTAGCAGATCCGGTCGTGTCGGATGAATCCCTGCGGGCAGATCAGGTTGACGACTGGCGGGAGAACCACGACGTTCTGCGGGGCCTGCACCATGACGGGCTGGGCCTTCATCGGGGCTGCGGGGAGATCAGAGAGACTCAGATACAGGTTGTGGTACGTCAGTCCGGTCGCTGCTGTCTGTTTCTTCTTTCTTTTTGGTCAGTTTTCTGTTGTTCTAATTTCAATTAATATTCTAGTGCATTTTTCCAGTCAGATACAGGTTGTGGTACTCCAGTTCGGTCTGTTTGCTGCTCTGGGACTCTTTTTTTGGTCAGTTTTCTGTTTTTCTAATTTAAATGAATATTCATATGAAAGTGCATTGTTTGACGACCAGAAATTTCATGAAGTTGCATGAAAACTAAGTTTCAAGTATGTTTATACAGTATAGATCATCTTTAACCAGTCACCTCTTATCACCTCCATGAAATGTCATGGAGGTTTTGTTTTTAGCGATTGTCATTCTGTCTGCATCTCTATTGGTCAACAAGATAACTGTCTGCTTTTGCTTGAAACATGTTATTTCTTGCTTGCTTATTGTCCTGTCGTTTGTCAATTTGTACTTCGCATTTTTTCACAATCACGGTTTACGTGCTAGTTGGCTTCACCAAATGTTGATAAGTCAATTTGTGTGGAGACAACCATTTTCGCAGTTCTTAATCAGTCACATTAGGTTTGCCATTCCAAGTCATTCTTGCATGCTGCAGTTAAAGATTGATAGACCTTGTCCTTCATGTGATCATCTATGACTTTGTTTTAAACTAGACTGTTACGAATACCTAGTGTCCTCTAAAAATGTCCAATGTACCGGTATGTAAGTAGATTCGAAATTAGAGTAGAGTTGCCATGCCTTAAAAAACATGCATACGCATAGCAGCTTCAATGGTGTAAGATTAAGCATTGAAAAGAATGAGCTTGAAAATTCTTTGTTAAATAATGCGCGCGAACCTGCAAAGATTTATAGTCAAAGAAGATTGATATCATTCCAGTTAGATTTGATTCTGATTAATACAGCGTCATTGTTCACTGCAAATATTACAATTAATAAATTTATATTTAACATCCATGGTTTGCATACAGCGGTGGATATGCATGTTAGCTGATGCCTGCTCACAGTGCAGCGCAGCACTTCAAAACAATGTAGGACCCATCAAGATGTTTGGTAGTAGCGGTGGAGGTTGAAGTTGTGATTGCCTTGCAATGGAAAGAATTGCGTTCATTGCATTAGGCGCTGTACACGTTAAGGAGCGCCTGAGCCCGGCGCTATCGGGCAAACCTCACCTGCCGGGCGGGGCAAGTACACGGTCTGCCCCGGCTGAGGCTTGCCGTCTTGCCCTTTTTGTTGTTGACTCGCTACAAGGAACGCATTGGATTCAATCGTTAGACTTAATTCTGATCGAAGCATTTGTACAATACGGTATGAAACTATGGTTAAGGTTCTAGATAGCATTCCTAAACAAACTATATGTTAGGGTTCTAGATAGCATGCCTAAAGAAACTCAGTTACGGTGCTATGTCTAAATAGCATGCATAAAGAATCTGTAGGTTAGGGTTCTAAATAGCATGCCTAAACAAACTATGGGTTTGGGTTCTAAATAGCATGCCTAAACAAACTATGGGTTTGGGTTCTAAATAGCATGCCTAAACAAACTATGGGTTAGGGTTCTGAATAGCATGCCTAAACAACATCTATAGTACTACAACACTACTCCAGACAAGCAATCATACCAGTACTAGCTACAACAGATTAAAACACTACATCAGATATGTACTTACCGCCCATCATCACGTACTGTGGCTGCTGCTGCTGTGCAAGCACAACTGAAAAGACAGAACAAATTACAATGTTAAACATCATACCAATGTCAATGTGGTTCATTTAGAGGAGAATTTGCCCGCAAAAATGTTACTGATATGCCCTAGAGCATATTTACTAGCTGTAGGATCCAGACTCATATAAACCAATCAACTAAATAAGGACTGCTACAGATGCTTCTATCTTCCAACAAGTTTCGGATTGGAACTCACTACCACATGTACTCAAACCCTTGAACCGGCTAGGCTCATGAAGGAGGTCTCCCAACACTGAGGAACCGGCAATACACTGTGCTGCAGTAGCCATTGCCTGTGCGCTAAGTGTTACTAGTAACTAGTAGCCAGCCAGAACCAGGCTCCAATAATGCCGGATGCCTTACCTGGAGCAGGCTCAGCACCGCCCTCATCAGGTGCTCCCTCGGGAGCGGGGAAGTCTCCAGCCGGCTCGGACACGCCAGACAGCCCCCTCTCGAAGTAGCTCCACCCGGAGAAGGGCTGGAACTCTCCCTTCACCATGTTCTTGTTGCGGGCGGAGAGATGACACTGCCCGTCCATGCTGTGGTCGAACGACCGGCAGAAGAAGGTTGTGGACTCGATGCACAGCTGGGCGCACTGTTCGGCGTTCACGTTGGCGAAGGAGGCATCGTTGTAGCCCTGGATGGCCATTCCGATTTCCTGGCCGAAGCCGGTCAAGGCCGCTAGAAACAAAGAAAGAAAAGACGTAAAACTTAAGGTCTTAAACTCATCTATCTGATTATTTGAATCGCAGTGATGAAATGATCTGCTCGTGTCACTGTTGCTTGGAATCGTTGACAATCTCAAGATCTTGTTTAAGTTTCAGCAAATTTTGTTTGCTGCATCTCCAACAATACGTTTGCTATCAAAACCCCCTGGTCAAGACAATAACCAAAGTCTCTTGCTGAAACATTTGTACACATTGTCTTACGTGGGTTCTATGATTGGCTACCAACAGACCAATTGCAGATCAAAAGATGGCAATATTTCTCCATCAATCCAACCATACCATACCATACCATACCATACCATACCATACCATACCATATCATACCATACCATACCATACCATACCATACCATACCATACCATACCATACCATACCATACCATACCATATACAATGTAAGACTAACTACATATAATACCAGTGATGTTAGACGCGGTTAAAGCACTTCAAGCTCAGCATACTTACACTCAACGGGAATGACAACCATAGCGGGTTGGTCATGATTGGGAAAGTAAGGTTCGAGGTGCTCTTCCTTGGCAGCAGAGGGCTCGTCACCATTGCCTTATATAAAGAATGAAAGCCGAGGGGGAAACACACAAGCGTTAAGGTATCCTGGTTAGAACTTAAGGGGTAAGGGGGTAAGAGATTTTGTCCTAAGCCCACCGTACATAACGATTTACATGTAAGTTGCTGTCAGCAAAGCCAAGGGAACAGGACACACACGTTATATAGTCTGTTATTTGTATGTAGACTGTAGCAGTTCATTGATAGTAACATTGATCATTGAAAGCTTACAATACCTGCATTGGTATGTATATTATGTTAATTTGAGATCCAGTGGAGCAAAAAAAGTTACAGAACTCAGAACACAACTGTTACAAATGATTCAACACACACGAGGAAAGGTTATTCATAATCAAGTGTAGTTGACATGCACTGTAAAACAATCCATCTTTTTAAACACGCCTTAAAGTTTGCCTAAAGGTTCCGTGTATTCCTACCTTTACGCATGCTATAAGGTGTGCTTAAAGATAGATTTTTGTGCAGTGAGGGTTGTTACTTTGAACAAACACACGCGGAAGGGTGGTTTTGCGGGACAGGGAACAAGAAAAAGAATGACGGATGGAGAAGGGGATTTACCGGGTTTGGGGGCGACCATCATCACGGTCCGTGGCTGGAGCTGCTGCTCGGCCTTCTGCTGTTGGGGGGCGATCACCACCTGTGGGGCCTGCTGCTGCCTCACTGCGTACACCGGCACCTTTTGGGCTGGGAAAAAAATATCAAACATATCTTAGATTAAAGAGTGAAAGAGGCTGTACACATCAGGCTGTACAACCTGTGTATTGATCTGTTGTCATTGCCAATAAAGAAAGAGTTTCCTCCCCATCCTTCAACCGCGACCAAGGCCGCCACAGACTACTTCCCGTATACAACACCCTCGATAAGTCACATGACCAATGTTGACCTTTAACCTGTTGGTCATGTGACTACCTTGTCAGTAGCTGCAGAAAGATGGCGGATGCCGTCTGAAAGTTTCTTGTTTCACGTATTTCAGTTTAGATCCTTCTTCGCACTATAGTTTAGATTGTTATAAAATGATAATATCTTGTCTATTTTAAACATTTCTTACTATAAGTTATCTAATCGTACCATTCTATCCCTTATTTGATAGACCAACTATTGCTTCAACCTGCATATAGAATACAGGGGAAACTGAAGCAGAGGCAAATCAGTAAGATAGACAAGGTAGCCACCACATAACCCACCAGAATTATGTTCTACAGTTTGAGAAACACTTTGGCGTCCTGGGTGGTATGTTAGAGTAAAGGTTAAGCAAAGGGAAAAGCCGCAACTATCTGACACCTGGACAGAGAAAGGTTAGGCCTTTGTAGCAGGATTTGCTTTGTTTAGAAAGCGGTGAACAACTGTTTATGCTTGTATTGTTAGCGAGACAATGGGCAATGTCTCATCTGGACAGGTGGCGGAAACACCTGTAGCCTTATTGACACTTAAGATTTGCGGGTTTAACCAGAAAGAATGTCTAAGTCAAACCAAGAAACCACAACGTGAGTCTAGGATTTCCTCGACAAAGTCAGACTTTGTTTTTGTATTTAGGGAAATGTTTAAGTTGTTACATAACTTCTAAAGTCAAGCTATGCTACTCTCAATGTATATGTTTAGGTTTTGCCTGTTTTTGACGACTTTTTGTGAGTTTTTGTAGGGCTTTGTTTCTGTACTGGTATCTTCGGGTGGCAATTTGATACTGTTTTGCAGCCACAGAAAGATCTACTTGGGGATTAGAGCTTCATCAGTACAAAATTAACTCTTAACTTACGTTTTGTGAAAAAAGTGTCATGCACCCTCAACATGTAATACTATTAATTAGACTTCGCTCGCTTCATTTTTCAAATAGATACAGTTAGAACCAATGGAGGTATTTGAACAAAGACCAAAGAACTGCAACCTTTTGACAGCCAAGCTGGGTCCCAAGACACTCACTTAAACTGAGACAAAAGGAAGAATGTCTGCTGTATTTTATTTTGACAGCTGCAGCACTCTGCCGGCCAATAATGGCAATACAGATTCAACAATGCAGAAAATGATATCGCAGGCCACTTAACAAGGTGAATGGTGGTCTCCTTAGTCTTGTTTGTGGTTGGACACTGATATCTAAGAAGCCTCAAAAAGAAAATCTTGAAGGAATCTTCAAGGTTCACCATTATACCGGTCTTTAAAAAAAACTCCTTCAGTGGTTCAATATTTTAGATATGCCCAGTGTGGTTTTAGCATCTGGCATTCTGGTGTCTATACATGTATGCTTATCTCAGCAAATCTCACAACTAATTAAGTTGCTTTTACATTTAAGAACTACAATGTGCGTTGAAGGCATCTTTAGTCTATTGTCAAGGCGACATCATGCACCTCTTACCCGTTGTGTGGATCTTACTGCAAATAGAAGATTGTTCTTTGAGTCTTGCAGCTTTCGTCCTTAAGAAAAGAGTTAGCCAAAATGGCAAGAATGATTTTTTTCAGCCATTGTCAAAAGGTAGTGGATGCTACCTGAAACTGACCCGCTTGAAAAACGTGTCTGGTCGTTTTCAAAATCTATCCAGTTGCTTGAGCAACTTTTACTTCTCTCAAAGATGATTTTCCACCATCACCACTAGAGGCAGCTGGTAGCAAATGTTCCCCCGAACCGGAGACATATGTTACACTTCCCAAGATCAGACCATGACCCTGGTCAGAAGGTTGTTATGTCAACGGAAGAACCAACGTAGAAGAAATTACTTCAGCCCAAACGTGGTAAAACAGACGAGATTGTGTCAACTTTGTCGCAGACGACACAACTGTTGCACCAGACTACATAAAAACAGTCCCCAACCCCTTGCCGAGACCTTGTAAACTTACAGGTCACTGGATTCCGGGGTTTATGAAACCACAAACACAGCATATCCACAGCTGTTGCCTATTCGTTCTTTAACCTGCGAACGAAAGATCTGAAGCTTCAAGGATTGCCGACAAGGATATCCATATAAGAGATCTGTAGCATCTTACAAGTAAGACAGTCTTTGCCGTTTCCTGTCTTTTCAGTCCCTTTTCAAAAGGGACAGGAACATGTGAGGCGTCTTGGGTGTTCTCAGTAGGATCTTGAGACTATTTTGTCATCTAAGGTGCAAACAGACCTCTTTGAAGTCAAACTAATTAAATCCCAGTCCTGCATACGCTACCTCTTTGTGTTTTCAACATCTGTGCTATCATTAGAACAGCATAAACCCGGGGTTTTCTATACTGAAGATGTTTAGTCAAAATAAGGCTTATAAGACGCTTAAGGACGTTCTTTCATGTCGATGTTGTATAAACCCATCACATCAAAAGTATGAAGGCGAAATGGTAAACAAACACTTTGTATCAGTATTAACAGTAAATTTGGGGCAAACAATGCCATCACAGTTTGGACGTCTAGACTTATATACTGGTGATATTGCTAAAGTCTGATGGTGGTCGGTAGGTTTGCAAAGGTCAGATTTGTAATACGATACTCTCCAAGAAAATGCGTAGACTTTGGCATATTTTTGACGAGTTTTTGGCGTTTTTCTAGGGCTTTCTTTTTTGTACTGGTACTTTTTGCCATTCTATTGATGGCCTCTTGGATACTGCTCTATCAACGATGTTGTCTGGACAATTTGATACTATCTTGCCAGTTTCTTATGATTACGTAGCAGCTACGAAAATATCTGCTTGAAGATGAGAAAAATATGCCACAATATGCTTGGTGCACTAGAACACAACAGGCAGACCTCGACATAGGATACTACTTGTACCACGTACTTTCTTAGACTTAGTCATACATCTAAATATAAAAGACATACCCTCGACACAAAAGGCAGAATAGAAGGGAAACTTGAGGAAAAGGCTTTTAATAGTTTCTCATAGGTATCTCATATCAGCCCCATCTTTAAAGTCTCTGACATAAAATCTGCAAAACCCGTAAGATTTTTGGCTAAAAGTTGAGTAAGAAAGCTAGCTCCATCACCTTCATCACCAGGCATTTACTTCAACAGAAACAGAAGAGGAAGGCACCAGTTCGAACCAAAGAAGTGGAGAGTATACTTTGAAAAGCAAGTTGAGTTGAGAAGAAATTACCTTGAGGTCCACAGTTAGCCTCGTCAGACGCATCTGCACAATTTTGAATGCCGTCACAACGCTGATTCTGCAGGATGCAGGCGGAATTGTCACTACAGGCGAGGTAGGTAGGCCAACTACACTGAATTTGCATGACAGCTTGCATCTGCTTCTTGGGCGCACGGCGAACGCGGGCCAGAATCCTTTCTTCCTCTGAGGAAAGAAATACACGCACGATTTGTGTCATCCAACTCGGGTGGTACGTAGAGAAGACCAGAAAGATGGAAGGGGAATGATCACCACGATTCCCAAGCGAAGAGAGCTCATATGAGCCCCACATTTGACAGGACAAGGAAAGGGTGGCTAGAACTGAAAGGGATTACTACATGGAGATCAGAGCCGATCTTCGAGGTAGAGAAGGCAATTGCTACAGAAAGAACAGTGTAAAGCACCTGCACAAGAGGCTGGCAACTTCAGACATAGCAAAGGCGTCAGAAGAAGAAGATGAGAATCCTAGTGCTTCGAGGAGACAGAGATTTTTTTCTAACTGGAATGTTGCGTTTTTTCTTTGCCATTTGATGAAGAGATCGTAGGTAGGTAGAGATCCACAACTAACTTAGGTAGTAGTTGTGGACTCATCTCATGAAGCTACAAAGACTTTCAGAAAAGCATCATTGTCTCAACCAGCTTCTTAACAACTTCTCGACGGTAAAGAACAATCCTTTGCTTCTTTGAATACTTGATGGCTAGAATTCGCAAGGACTACAAACTAACAAGACATTGCAGCGATAAGGTTTCCATGTCCTTGAGTCCATGATTGACAAGGAGCAGCGCCAGGTAAAAGCTTTTCAGAGCCATACAAAATGGGTCTTTTTGTAACTTCAAGTGCCATTATAGTTATCTAGATGAAATGATACCCATTGCAATTGTAAAGGCTCCCTTGTAATCAATTAGTGGTGTACAGTTACAAGACGTGGCAGCTGTCTTCACATTTCGGAGACTCTTAGATGCCAATCTCTGACACAGTTACTTAGCGTGTGTCGGTGAAGACTGTCTAAAAACAGGCGACTACTTAGCACAAGACTCAGATGACCTTGGCGATAAGGATCTAACTCCCAGCGTTTGTTTTCCTAAGGTCCAACACAACAGCTGACTCATAAAGGGATACAAACCACTACTGGGTCCCTTGCCAAAGTCCTGTGCATGATACCTAGACATGTCTAGCTGGCACGTGGAGGGTTTGGACAAATTCCAACATTGCTAAAATAGAACATGGATCATTGAACAGCTACCCTAGACAATGACTCAACAGTCTGGCTATCCCCTACATTACCGTACAGTATAGGTACACAAATTCCATCCTTATCACACCTTAAAGAATGTGTAAATGTTCCGTTTTTTTCTTTTACGTGAACCTTTACGCATGCTTTAAGATGTGCTTAAAAGAATGGGATTTGTGCAGATTTTTACTGAACTGTGGTGAATGTTCGACCTATCCGGGCACCTTTCAGAAAGTAGTAGGTGCGACTTTTCACTTACAAATAATAATTTGAGACAGTCATTCTCTTCAACTACAACTATAGTGATTTTGAAGACATGAAACACAGCCGATGCAAGTTCTCTAACAGTGCCTTTTTCTAGTGGTACGCGTAACAAAGTTTTCTTCTTTGTAATACAATCGATAACCGGTATAAGTCCGTAAATTACGACATGATTAAGTTGTTGACTAGAAGAGAGCTTAAATCGGCTGTAGGAGTTACATGTTCTTTTTGCTGACATTTTCAAGGGGAATTTTGTTTCAAGCCCAAAGTAATTCTGATTTGTCTTGCTTTGTGAAATTAATATTTCAAGGTATCCAATGCAATTTTTGGACGGTAAAGCAAAAAATATATTCTGGATGAGGAAATCTGTGTGATATTGACATTTACTGCCATTTCTTAGCACATTTTCATCATTTCATACTTCAGCGTTTGAAATAGCAAAAACAAGTTACATGAAGATTCCCATTATTTTTATACTACCACGAAAGAGCCAGAACCGGTCTTCGATACAACGAGCAATCAACCGTTACACCTCATTTTTGCCTCACAGATGTGAGTATGCTATCGGATAGGGTTAATCCAACATACTTCATCAAAGGAATGACCAGAAAAGTTACGTTGAAAATCTAGGTTTGAAAATCCTCCCAGAAATTGCATTGGATGCCTTTAAAAACTCTTAATTCCTGACAAACTTTGTCAAAGAAACGTCAAAGACTTACCCTCGCAGTAGGAGAAGTGCAGCGTGGCTACCGAAGCGACCAGGAGTAGAACTAATTTGGCGTTCATCTTGGAAGCGCAAAACTCTTCTCTCTCCGGGCAAAAAGACGAGTCCAGACGGCTGGTTCTAGGCAGGCAGTGCGGTTCGGCAAGGCGACCAGAACTGTGTGGGAGTACGGCCTCAGGGTCCCCGCATTTAACTCTCTCTCTCGCCAACCCTGCGCGTGCGCTGGAAACCCTACCACCAATCACTGCCCCTCCCTCCCAAACAATAGATTAAAAGTTCCTCAAGAAAGGGACCCCCAAAAAAGGTGTAAACTTGAAGGTGCGGGCCGCGCGACCTCGGCTTGAGAGGGTCAGAGCTTAGCCTAAACAGACCTGTCTCGAAATCTTAGACAGTTTGTGAATAAGATTGACCAGTGCTACCATATCCTCAAAGAAGTTAGTGTGAGGCTTTTAAACTGCCATTATGGATTTCTAACCACCTGTTGTGGATAAAGAACAAGTACATTGTATGTACGATATAGAACAAACCGCTGTGTGTAGTACATGTGTGTTTGCTTTCTTTAACCAGACCGCAAGACAGGTATGTTACTGTGGTTTAGTGAGAAAAATGCTTCTAGTCGAACCCAAAAGTTCACCTATACATTGTCCACGTAGTCACAATACGTACTCTATTCAGTCTTCTTTCTCTTGTAAGTACCCAAACACTTGTTACGTGTGAGGTGGCATTTACTTTGGTGAGTCTTTCTACACCCGTGCTGCACATATTGCGACTGTGGTTGACTTGAAAGATTCTTTTTGTGGTCCCCAACAAAATAGGGCAGCTATTGCAACTACTATTGTATCACCCAGATAGAACAATCTCTTCGTTGGAAAAGATGGATTTTGTGAGCAATGCCTTGCCCTCTTCTTGTACTATTTGAACACAAAAGGATAAGCACTTAATTTGTTGCACCTCTAGTCTAAGTACCATAAACATTACACAAAGGGAAAAGAAACTTGCCGGAAAATTGATTAAATCGAGAACAAAGTCTTAGAGGCATGAGGGCAGGTTTATGTTTCACGTACTCCAAATAGTAAACTCAGAGGAAACCCAACCGGCATAAAGCTATAAAAGGCGTGGATCTAGTTTGTTAGTTCAGTGGTCCGTTTTTAGGATCACTTAAGGTTACCAAACTGGGCTCATCCGTCTCTCTTAAGGGCTCCTGTCGGGGAGCAAATGGAAAGGTAGAATGGCTGTCAGAAACAGCAGGTGTTGCCTAGATTGATGGTAAACAGACGCGAACATCAAGGAGACTCCGTGCGGTTTTACACGCAAACCGTGCCACCCATATCGGGGTATTCTATCTCAGGTGTAGACATGTCTTTTGTCTGGAAAAATTCCTATCCTTGCTCGAACAGTTCGAGCAAAGTGTTTCCCTTGATCGATGCTGACAGGATGATAATTGCACTTTTCAACAGGTTCGCTTTTGATAATATTTGATACGGTGTATTTTCACATTATAATTACCGTGTTCGTTTGAAAAACTGTACATGTATCCGATTTGGTCATTCAGGATTTGGACAAAGGTTTCCGTGCGTTAGAAACATTACCTCTCAACTTCAAAGAAACTCTGATGTTTAGAAGATCGTTTCTCCAAAGTAATTTCTGTAGAATCTATCTGACGAAAGCTAAATGGGGGACAATACGGAAATCTTCTTAAAGACCTACTAAATGATGATGAGGCACAGGTGGTCAAGCAACACTTCACCTTTCTTGTAAGATACAACTCTTAATGCTACATTTGCAGGACGTTTGCTCTTGTAAAAAGGCTTAATCATACTACAGCTGTTGTGAGCAGTTAAAAAGACTTGTAACAACAAGAGAAACGTTGAAACTTAGGTAAGGCATTGGTTCATTTGTAGCCATTTGTATCAGACAGGAGACATTATCCCAGTATACTCAAAGCAGCTAAGCTCTTGAATAGAAAAGAATTGACGACCTTCTCTACAAAAATGGTACTCTGTTGCATTGTCTATTGTGATTGGATACAAGGTATGGACATAAGGCCCTTCCAATAAAGTTGAGTGAAGTTTCAAATATCTTTAAGTGTGCATCAAAGTCAACATCATCATCATCATCATCATGACCAACAATGATGCTGGTCATGATGATGATGATGATGATGTTGACTTTGATCATCATCATCATCATGACCAACAATGATGTTAGTCATGATGATGATGATGATGATGATGTTGACTTTGATCATCATCATCATCATGACCAACAATGATGTTAGTCATGATGATGATGATGATGTTGACTTTGATCATCATCGTCATGACCAACAATGATGCTGGTCATGATGATGATGATGATGTTGACTATGATCATCATCATCATCATGACCAACAATGATGCTGGTCATGATGATGATGATGATGATGATGATGACTTTGATCATCATCATCATCATGACCAACATAATTGTTGGTCATGATGATGATGATCGCCTATAGCGATATAACTTCGTCTATTGTATATGATTTAGACTACAAATACATCTAGGCATTGAATATTGATGTAGACATTGTAGTTGTCTTTAGTTAGAGACTACACTTTATTTAGATACCTCTACCCTTGCCTTGCACCTTTCTCCTTACGACGTTCTGGTCGGGTCAAGGCCATACAACCAGTAGTACCGACAAATAAGGACATGCTAAAACCCTCAAAAGCAAAGTAAACTAATAGACCGGGAAACCAAGGTGAATGCAGCTGAAAATAACCCAACTGTCAGTGTTAGTTCAGTCAGGTGAGACACTAACGATTAAGGGTAGTTCATCATCATGACGGGTCGGTCTCGCTTCATGGTGGGTCCGTCCACATGCCCATAGCCAGGGGGTGTGGGGTGGTGATTTCGGGGGTACAGAACAACCCCCCACAAGGCTCAAAGGTCCACTTTTTATCTAAAGGTCCAAAAGTTTTATTCTAAAGATGGACTGATTTGTATCCACAGGCGGGGTTGGGATCCTAGAGAAACTGATCACTTTGTCATCGAAACTGAACAAAAAAGTAAAAAAAGGTTAATTTTTTGGTCCCTCAGACAGTGGGAAGCATCCCCCCAAGCAAAGTCCTGCCTACGGGTATGGTCTATAGTTCATCTGGCAATTTGTAGACGGTGCAGATAAGAATCTAGTATACCACGTGCCCAGGAAGCTTTTAAACGGACTCTGTAACACGGTAATGCTTTAGGTATGGCGCTCTGCACGGGCGAGGGCTTTTGGTGATGACAGACCATTTAGGGTGGATGGTGAAGTTTTAGACTTCTTTGTTTGGGAATAAATGGTGGAAAGTAACGGTACAGAAAAAAACACCAGAATGTTTTATATATAATTTTTACAGGCTCCATTTTCTTTTTATGCTTGGTTTCAACAGTACGAAGTTTAAACTATTCCAAATTGACTGAGACTATATTGAAAGTCAAACGTTTTTAGGAACGTTGAGATTGCATCGTAACCTTGAGATACCAATCTACATGTACTAGAGTGGTCAGGGAGTTTTTAACGAGCTCTGTGGCACAGAGAACTATTTGAAAGCTTTCGGTGACGAAAGGCAATTTAGAGTAGATGACAAGGGGCGATTGTGAAGTTTTGGGGTTCTGTGTTCATAGAATTAATGATTAAAAGTAAGAAAAAAAACGTTTACATGGATATTATGTTCGTGCATTAGAAATTATGTCATTATTTCTGGTTTTTGGACGACATGCATCCTGAATGGTTCAAATTGACTAAGGCATTTTTGGAAGTCAAAACCTGTTAATGACGTACATTGTAAGGATTTCAGTATAACGATAAGGATCTAGACACGTGCACAGGAAGCTTTTAAACGGGCCTTTTAGAGCCAGTGAAACCTCAAAACGTCTCTGTAAAAGATTCAGTGATGACAGACAATGTAGGGTGAACAACCAGGCACTTTAGTATTAGGCGCATGCTTTTGGCTTCTGCATGTGCTTAGTACAAACGTTAGATATGCGTTCTATACGGTAAAAAAGTAGTTTGGAAATTAACTTATGTCCGTGTCACACATTAAAAACCTTCCCCGGACCACTAATCAACTATTACTTTTATTCGGGAGCAGACTGACCAGATTTAGGCCACGCCTTTCGATACGAATTGAATTAAATTTGATTTAAATCTGAGTCACATTTGACTGCCAACCACACCCTGACCACTGCCGAACTTTTCCCAACCACAAGCCAACCAGTCCCCAACCACGACCCAACCTTTCGTTCACTCTAAAATATTTTGAAGCCAACCTTGCTCCAGACTTACTCCTAACCATGGTTGAGGGAGTTTGGCAGTGTTCTTGAGGCCATACTCGGCTGTCTATGACAGTGGCTAAAGAAAGTCGAAAACCTATTTTAGGCATTACGAGGATTTCTTTTGTAACTTTATCTACCACGGTTGACCGGCTGTGTATAGGGTGTATAAAAGAAGTGAAGGATTCGGTTTCAGAAACTGGTCTTCTGGACAGCTGGGTACACTTGTGGCCGGTGAACTTGAGAAAGTCCACCACACCACGCCTCAGCACACGTATACACCCCGGCCCGGCGTGTCTAATGCACCCCAAACAAACAGGACCCAGGCCGCGGGGGTGACAACGGACAGGCGGTGGTCGGTCCACCGTGCGGTACAGCGGCACCTTTGAACCGGCAGAATCGCCCAGTGTTGCCGGTTCTTCCGGAGCTGTGTATCGTCTGCTTAGACAGACCCCACGAGCGGGTACTGCCCCTCCCCGTCTCTTTGAGTAGAAAACCTGTGCTCCTCCTACTTTAAGTGGGGGCATTCTCGGGTTCGTAACTCTGTATGGTTGAGGGGCTGACTTATACCCCATTTTTCACTACAGGCTTCGACCGCTACCAAACTTTGCACGGGTTGTTCAACGAATTTTAAAGATAAAGAATGAATCTATCTATATTTTGTACGTTTTGTTACTCCGTGAAGGAGGTCAGTAACCTCTGACGGAGTATTGTGGTCAGTTGTGTCCGCAGTTTCGGAGTTACTTGCTGCATTGCTATGTAGCTTGGCATGACGTACTGTATGCTATATAGATCTATTTAAAACATATTTCAATATCATGCATAATATTACAATTATAATATCAAGGGATACACAAAGCTAATTTTGATGGATC